TATTTTTGTGGGATATACATATGTACTTGTATCTGGGAAAAATAAAGTTTGATTAACATGCATTACAAAAACAATTTTAATGTATTCAATTCATAAAACCAAATAATAAACAAAAATATATACATAAAAAAAGATTTTACTTTCTAAAAATTTCAGTTCATTTATCGCTAAGTAAAAGAAACCTTTAATTTGATCGATTCCACTGTACATAAACTGTACATACATATGTACATGTAAACTTTAAATAGCTATAAAACTATAAAAACGGTTAAGATACATAGATACATACATACATATGTATGTATGTATTTATATTAATGTATTTTCCCTTCTTCTTCGCACCGGTTTTCCCCTATCAAAACTCCTTAGTGGCTGCAAAGGCCCAATGACTTTATTTTCTTCTCTCCTTTTTACAAATTTTAAAGGCTTAATTAGTCAGCGCAGATCGGATCGATCCTAAAAGAGAAGAAAATAAAAAACAACACACATTTTCGTTTTTTACACACACATAAGACAAAGTTATAATAGTATAGGTATTTATCTGTACACTGTGCTCAAATACATTCATACATCCACGTTTTAAATCCAGTTTCTTTCTCCATTAAGCGACAGCGCAGAGTCAGGGCACCAGGCACAGATTGAAGCATCATCATTATCAAGAAATTGAGCCGAGAGTTGGCCCTTGGAATTATGTTGTCCGCCGTCGAGGCAGCAAGAAAAAATAAAGAAAATAAAAAAGGGAAGAAGGTAGACAAAAAACCAGCAACAAAAATTAAAGGCAACTTTTGTCAGATTTATGTATGTACATATGTACATACGTATGTATGTACATATGAAGATGCATTCATCAGATACATATGTAGCCTTAAATAAGGTGTTTACTTATGTGTATACAACAAAATGCATATATGAACTAATTTAAAAAATACACAAGCAATAGTGCATCCTTAAGATATTAAACAAACATAATTTATTTATGCAAATATTCGGAAAACAGCATAAGCACATATTACTACTATACATAATGTTTTATGGCATATCGTATGATTTTAAAAATTGTACTTCTCGCTAGCTATTATTTTTCAATTATGTAAGTGTGTATGTATATGTATTATTTGTGAAGAAAACTTCTTTTCTGAATAAAGAAAATTAATTTCTTAGAGGAGACGAAAATATAATGGAAAACAGCGTTGTTAAATTTTTTCATATACATTTTTTAGGCATATTCGGGGAATGAGTGCAACAAAAATTATAACTACGGTGTTCATTAACATATTTTCATCTCCTCTAAGATATGTGTTTTTTTTTCTCATATTTCTGATATAATTTTATCAATATCAGACAACTATATCATTCGTATAGCAGTAACCGAAATGCTGTAAATATAATATGATATATATAGGTGATTGTAATGAATGTAGCCATTACTTCTTTGTTTTGTTAACATAAATATATAGAGTATATATTTCATCAATTATTAATGATCTAATTGCAATCTGCAAGGGTATAAAAACTTCGGGGTGACGAAAAGAGCTTCCTTTAAGTTATACCATTGCATGGTAATTTAAATTTAGTCAAAAGTCGGGCGGACTGAGCTAGATCGAGGTGATGCTGATAAAAAATATATATACTTTTTATATCATATATATTATTATAACTTCGATTTGTTTAAAAATATTCGTATTTACTTATATTTATTTTGTATTTACTTATATTTATAAAAATCGGACTGAAAATGTTCACTGTTTTTCAACATATTTTCATCTCCTCTGAGAAATAGCCAATGTTTATTTATTCACAATTTCTGTTGCCAAATGCAAATCTGTGAATGTAAAACTCTAAATATAATATGCTTAGGTGAATATAATGAAAGTAAGCATTACTTCAATGTTTTCAAAAATAAATTTGTATAATATGTATTGTATTATTTGTTAACGATCCAATTACGAACTTCGGCGTGATTGCAGGGAATTATAGTTTTAGTTAAAAGTTTGCAACGCAGTGAAGGAGACATTTACGACCCTTGATATATGTGTTATTGATCAGGATCAAGAGCCGAATCGATCTAGTCATGTCCGCCTGTCCGTTTCTACGCAAACTTGTCTCTAAGTCTTAAAGATATCTGAATGAAACTTTGTAGTTAGTCTTCTATATACTCTCACTCGAATATACATATGTATGTCAGAACGTGCCGGATCGACCGAATATATCATATAGGAACGATTGGAAATTTTTTAAATTTTCAACAAAATAAAACGCCTATAAATTAATTAATTTTGATCAAATAAAAAGAAAAACTTAAATTAAATAAAGAATAAATTGAAAACCATAATTGCGAATATATATATATATATAATAAAAATGTCGAAATCTCAGATATTAAAATATGTTGAACAATATTAATAATATAAATTTTTGTTTAAAGCAACGAAGCAATGCCAAATTTGATTACTTTCAAATATAAATATTATATTATAAAGAAAGAATATAGAAAAGTCTATCTGCAAAATTTATTTCAGATAGCTTGAAAACTTAGAGACAAATTTACGTTGAAACCGACAGAAGAACGGACAGGCGAACATGGGCTAGATCGCATCAACTTTTAACACAGATCAACAATAGACTGCTTCATTTTGAGAGTTTTATTTGCAACATTAAGCAAATTTAAAGAGAACATAATTGAATTATTTCAAAATTTTTCCTTTTATTATGTTTTGTGTTACTATTGGACCCTATGAGTAGGTCTAATGTGAGCGTAGAAGCTAATGAAGAACTTGAATATGAGTAACATGGATCCCCAATCCCATACAGTAAATATATTTTTCACGACTATCGTCAGACGTGTCGATTTAGCCATTTCCTATAGACCATGTGTGAAAACAACAGATCTCATAGACTATAAGACATAACATAGAGCTAGCATAGTTGGGGACACTTTATCTATTGCGCGCAGATCAAGCTGGTTTCACAAATCATTAAAATATGTAGCTTTGCTTTAATAGTACATTTAGATTTAAGGTAGAAAAGTTTAACAAATAACTGGACGGGGAGGAAATTTTGAGTAAAACAGAATAATAAACATGGAAGTTATAACAAAGTATCTTTGAATTTTAAAAGTCTTTATTTTTTTAGCCACCCCAATTTGACTTTAAGTGTTGCGAAATATGTTTCAAACAACACTGTCAACATTTTCTTTAGGCTTCAAATTTGTTTCATTTAAATTGTGCATGTCGAAGGAATATTTATCATTATTTATATTAGTCTTCTGAATAGGGCGGGGCATCGATTTTAAACACCAATAAACGTATAAAAATGTATTGTATGTTTGTAGTAGTGTTTTAAGGTTCTTAAAAGCGTATCGATTGCAATAAGAGCATTAATATTTAATAATAATAATAATAATAATAATAATAAAAATAATAATAATAAAAATAATAATAATATTAAAAAATATAATATTAATTATATTAATAATAATAATAAGTTCTATAATATAATGTTAATAAATATCAAAGTAATGATTTCTTTCGCTTCATTCATATATTCATATTTACATATTTAAACATATTTACCGTATTACATTCACAGTTTGATATTTTTTTATGAACATTTAAAGAAAGTTTATATGGCAGCTACATATGTGATATGGTCTCCCGATAAAATATAAAATAATATATAAAATAATAGCTGAAATCCGTGAAAATTGAGAAATGATAAATAATTAATAGCAAAGGGAAAATAATTAAAAAAGGGTAAGTCTCAAATTTGATAAAAATATGTCACAGAAAAGTTATCATTTTTTTCTAACAAATTTGCAATTGTTTCTATGGCAGCCATAAGATATTGTTGTCTGATCCGGCCTTTTCCGACTTATATATGTACATACGACTGGGAGTACATAGAAGACTAACTGCAAAGTTTCATTCAGACAGCTTTAAGCCTGAGAGAAAAGTTTTTCGTAGAGACAGACATGGCTAGATAGACTCGGCTGTTAGCCTGCAAGCGTATAAAAACTTTTATTTTTCAGAAATATAATTATTTAAGTCTCGACTTCTGGAAGTGTGAATTTATTCATATTATATATGTATTTAAATTCTTGGTATTCGAGGTAATTGTACACCAGTAATATAAATATAACTAAATAAAATATAATACAGCTAGATTTTGACCTTTGTGAAGTACATATTTCATTTTCCATTTATTATTATATGTATGTATACACTATATGCACAAATCGAGATACAACGCTCTTTCTGAACCGATACTTATCAAGGACAATATGTATTTTAATATGAATATATTTACTTCATATTTTGTTCTTTACATTTCTTTTTTTAAAGCAATATATCAATCGATTAAATCGGCTTTACAATGAATATTTTACTGTCAAACTCCTAAACTAAGTGTAAGTACATACATATGTATATGTATGCATGTGCACACAGGCCATAAGCCAATACACACACACTATACGATCACAAGACCAATACAAACCTATATTTTTACTTTGGTGAGAGTTGTAGCAAAAATAAATGTAGTGAGGGAAAAAAGGACCGGAGGTGCGGCTAATAGTATGTACGTGGCATGCATTGGAAAACAGAAATTATTTCGGCTTATATGCCACCAAGGCCAAAAAGAAACTACCTGCCTCTAACTGTAGGAATTTATTCTAAGCAGCCACATCTGATGGTAAATAGCCAAAGCGGGCATCACTGGCAAGCCAAAAAAGTATCTCGTGGACGCGTATGTACGTGTGTGCTGCGTGTGTTGTGTGGCCATCTTCGATCTGCCAGCCTTCGCTCGCTGGTGATCTGTGTAGCCCAAACACAGATACGCGGCGCTGCACTTGTTTGTGTACTTTTGCGGTACATCTGTCTGTGTGCCAACGTATCTATGTGGCATCTGAGGCAGTATCTGTGTTATGTGGCGCAGGTATTTGTGAGAAACGATCTCCGAACTGCTTCATTTAGACTAAGCGAAGCATTGTAAGAGCCTAGCTGTTAATATCGCTCAGTCCTCCTCTCGAAAGTAACACAGCAACAAGGCGGCAGCATAAGTGCATATATGCATTTATTGTTTAATAATATAAATTGAGTAATAACGAAGGCAAAATATGCTTATACGTGATTTAGTGAAACTTGAGTGAACAAAAGCTTCTTAAGTACCGCTGATTCCTAGAAGTGATATCGAAAATGATGATCACATTACATACCTAAATATGAGTGCTTGTGCAAAGTTAATAATAATATTGTGTGAAGTTTCCAACAGAATTTTATTATTTAAATCACACGGTTTTAAGTAAATTAATGTGCTATTATCTAATCGAATTTAACGGCTTTTTACGATAATTCCAACCGTGCCACACCGACGGCAAACCCATATTATATACATATATATATAATTAATTAGAATTCAAGTGTTTTAATGGTAATATATTAGTAGCTGCAATAAAATGGATGCCTACGCTTTGCCCACCTACTTTCCACTTGCGTAAGTTCTATTTATTTATTTTATTTTTTAACTCTATATGTATGTCTATACATTTACAAAAAATTTAATGTCCGCTGAAATATTTGGCCATTCAAATCTTATAAAACTTAAAACATTCTTCTAAAATAGTAGATAAAACATATATCCTTTTATATATGTTTATTAAAACCACTAACAAATTTGTGTCAATTTTCATAATATTGGCGCTTGACAGAATATGAAATAGTCTTCCGGTTTTAATTCAATTACAACCAAATTCAAAAAGGGAAGTAGATAAAAATGTTTTGGCAAATCAAAGGTTGAATTGTTTTTTATTTTAAATTTCCCGATAGTTCCTATGGCAGCTTAAAAATATAAAACAAAACCCCCCTTAATGAGGGAAAATCATAGTGAGGTAGCACCTTTGTTTAAAGTATATATTTATGGTAGCATTAATAAAGCATATTGTATATAAATAGTTTTTTTACTCTTAACCTTGGTATAACTCTTTAACTTCAATGCCAGATATATTTGTATCCCTCAGAAATTATCGGAACGGAAAGCCAAACTTTTTTATCTGCTCTCCTTTTAATTGGTAGAGCAACAGTGATTCAGCTTAAGCCTTGTAAGCCTTCGTATAAAAAAGCAGAGTACAAGCGAAAAAAAATACTCAATGTTGCAAAGGAAAATTATAAAGCGTTGCCGAAAAGATTGAAATTAATAAATGCCGCAATGACAGGTCCAAATATGAGACTTAAAACATATTTCAATTGCTCAAATAATCTGTTTTTGGTTAGTGACGGCGTTGGCGCATCCTGTTACTTAGCTTAAGTTTCATTGTAGCGTAATACATTAATATTTTTCCAAGGCAAATGTGTTCGAATTCATTCTCATGTCATTTTATAAATTTTGTTTACAAAAACAGCTGGAAATACCTGCCGGTGTGACCCTTTTCACGCCTTTATTTAATTTCATTGGCCACATTTGTTCTCGAACGATACATGTAGAATTTTCACCCAAACTTCGTAACACTGCCGCATTAATTAGGGATTTGATTAAAGAGCTAGACGACTATACGGCACTTTTAATGTGGACCGACAACAATATACTGCTGCGATGAACAAAAATTTAAATTACAAATTGTATTTGAGCTCATTAGAGGACGAGTTGTAAAAATTGTTAAAACTAAAATACGTTTAAGCTCCTTGTATGAAAAAATAATTTTTTGTTGTGGTAATTATAAGTTGGTAGGTTACAAATGTAATTCATAGTCTTCCATATAAGTACATAAATGTATATTGAATTCCAATCTTTGCTATTGTTTACCTTTTAAATCGGTGTTTTTGCGCCGTTACAACATTTTACAAGCGTTTTATCTTATGTTTGTACTGTCATCAAATGCAGCGATTTGATTCAGTCAGACAAACAGGAAATTTTTTAGATTTTGAAAAGGACGACACAATATATGAACTTTCAACAGCATTTCCTCACCGGGTAAACGAAAAAATTATAAAACAAGAAAAAAAGGTTACTTCGGCACGCCGAAGTTTTTATACCCTTCCAGATTGCAGTTCGACCACTAGGAATCAATACGATATAAATTTTATATATTTAGGTAAAAAAACTGTAAGATTTACTAACTGTAAAACTGTAACTCAGTTTTACATTCACAGTTTTGCGTTTTCCTCTATATGTAAAGATCGTTTGTATGGAAGTTAATTTGTATTCATGAAATTAAAACGGAAATTCTAGAATAATTTATAATGGCTATATCTCAAATTATATTAAAATCTGTTTAAAATTATAAATGTAAGAATTATTTTTCTACAAATTTTCCAATCGTTTCTATGGCAGCTATATATCAGCCGTATATCAGCCCGTTCCGACATACATACATATATACGAGTGAGAGTATATAGAAGACTAATTGCAAAGTTTCATTTAGATAGCTTCAAAACTACAGACTATTTTGCGTAGAAACGGACAGACGGACATGGCTAGATCGACTCGGCTGTTGATGCTGATCAAGAATACATATGCCTTATAAGGTCGGAAATGTCTCCATCACTGCGTTGCAAACTTCTGACTAAAATAATACCCTAATACCCTGCAAGGGTATAATAAAAGTTTCAATTATCCTTACACGAATATTTCAAACACAACGCCAGACAAAGAAAAATCGGAAGGACGTTCAAAATCTTGTTTATTTAATATAAAATAGTGTACGATCCCAAAACAGTAAGCTGCTAAATTTTCAAGCAGAAAGGCATTTTAATTAATTAATTAATATGTAGGGTCATAAAAAATCTCATGTTTTGCACATTTGCATGCAATTATATAAATAAAATTTAGCTATAAATTAAAGATAACCCAAATTGGTACAATCTTTTTCTTCAATTTATTATTTCATAGGTACTCCGAATTACAATTTTTAGCGTCGCGAAGGGCTGCAGCCGTTGCCGCTGCGGCCTTGCCTTCGGGTTCAGGTTCTCCGGGCTGCATTACCAATGTACACACAACGGATGTTTCCAGCTCGGTGTCGATGCCATCATCCATAATGCAGGCATCTCCTGAAGCATCAGAAGCAACAATTAAACCTCCTACAACATCGATTCTTCCGTCGAGTGGGAACATTTTACATCACCCGCAGCATCATCATCACCCAGAGCATCATCAGCATGTTCATGGGCAGACGCAACATGCACATGAATTTCATCCAGCTTATAGAATTCCTGGGTACATGGAGCAGCTGTATTCCCTTCAGCGCACCAGTTCAACAGCATCATTTCATGGTATATTAATATTATTTTTTATTATTGTTGGTATTACTTCTTTTAAATGACATTTTTGTTTATTTTACATCTAATTTTCTTTAATTTTTAATTTAATACAGATCCGTATGTTAACTGTGCTGCCTCAGCCTTCCATCTGGCAGGCCTCGGCATAGGTTCAGGTGATTTTTTGGCCACCTGTGGCATGGGCTCGTTGGGTGATCTGCATCATGCTGCCGTAGCAGCTGCCGCGGCGGCTGGATCGCTGGCCAGCACCGATTTTCCATTCAGCATTGATAATGGTAATAACAGACGCCCCCCGCCTGGTGGTAGTATTAGGACCAGTATTAGCCGCAAGCGAGCTCTGTCTTCATCGCCATATTCTGACTCATTTGACATTAACTCAATGATTCGATTCTCGCCAAATTCTCTGGCCACACTAATGAATGGTTCTCGAGGGAGCAGTGCTGCCAGTGGCTCCTATGGCCACATCCCCATGACCCATCCCGCACACGCAACATTGGCACCGCGCTTGCAGCAGATACAAGCACACTTGTTGCGCGCCAGTGCTGGACTTTTGAATCCTATGGCTTCGGCGGAGCAAGCAGCAGCGGCAGTAGGATTTGCCGTAAACCAAGGAAATCACTTAACCGAAGTGGTTTCCCGAAACATCAGTGATTTACCCTTACAGTTACCGAATCAAATACCAACTTCTTCAACTGCCCCAAGAATTAATGTCTATGATGAACACAAGGTGAGGTTAAAAGGAGCTCTCCATCGCTCACCATAAATAAAATAAAAATCATCTCGAGTCCCCTTGTTATATACTCAAAAGTTTTTTTTTAATTTTTCCTAGTTTAAATTATAATTGGAAGACAAACCCCAATTTTTGAATCAAAATATAAGCTACTTCGTAAAATAGTAATTATTATGAAACAGAAAATGAAAAATAGAGACTCACTACCTGTAGAACACATTAGGTGTCAAATTTAAAACGAGTAAACGACTTAAAACGACTCTGATTTCCAAATTAACATTTTTCAGGAGAGCATTAATAAAACAAAGAACGACCTCCATTCAAATTGCCATAACTTGGTCATTTTTACATTGAAGGGTTTCAAATTTTTAAACTGCATTCTTAATATGTTGATAATTAAAAACACAAAAATACAGAAGTCGAAAAAAAATTAAATGGAAAAAAATAAATTTTCAGTGAATCAATTTTTGCTGAATTAAATTTAAAAATAATTTGAAAAAAACATAACATTTTGTCCATGAAAAAGTATATTACGCTCAAATAATAATTATAAAATTATAAATGTATTTTCATCAGCGATTTGTAATTTAATTGTTTACATTTTATCCATGGATATTTGTGTTTTAATAATATTCTTTTAGTTTTTCTTCGATTATTTAATGTATAGCATAATTGGAAAACCCGATAAATCGGCTATAAAATCGATTATATTTCCAGCTATCAACCCCCCACCCTTTGTCGATAAAAAATGTTAAAGCGTGATAGAAATGGTCCCAAAGCAGATTTTAAAGCACCACATGATCTTCACTCTTTGTCATATGATGTGAATAACAATTTTAATTAATTATTTCAGTTTATAAAAAAAGGCCACGATCGTCTGCTTAAAAATACGGCACCAGCTGAACAGCCATCGTCAACATCTGGCCAGACCCAAGTAGCCCAAGTAGAAGCCGATAGTGCCTCATCGAATTTATCGGATCGCTTTGATAACAGAAAAGATAATATTGCTAAATGTACACCCAATGCTGATCTAAAATTAAGCCATCACCACAGTGAAGAGTTATTAAATGAATATGATTGTGCCAATGCTGATACAACGGATATTAAAGACGAACCTGGTGATTTTATTGAAACCAATTGCCATTGGCGTAGCTGTTGCATTGAGTTCATCACACAAGATGAACTGGTTAAGCATATAAATAACGATCATATCCAGACTAATAAGAAGGCCTTTGTCTGTCGATGGGAGGACTGTACGCGAGGTGAAAAGCCATTTAAAGCTCAGTATATGCTTGTCGTACATATGCGTCGCCATACAGGTGAAAAGCCGCACAAATGCACAGTAAGATACCATGTTTTTCTTAGTTAAGAAACTAATTTGTATACAATTTATCAAAACAAAAAACAATGTTTTCTTAGCTCCATTAGAGACGGTAGTAATTGTAATGGTTGCTCTAAGAAATTACAAACTAATTATATTCCCGCTAATTTCAATGAATCTAAATACTTTTAATTAACCTAAAACTTTTCTTTCAAGTTTGAGGGCTGCTATAAGGCATATTCACGTTTGGAAAACTTAAAAACCCATTTACGCTCGCATACGGGCGAAAAGCCATATACCTGTGAATATCCAGGATGTAGCAAGGCATTTAGTAATGCCAGTGATCGTGCGAAGCACCAAAATCGTACGCATAGCAACGAGGTATGTATAGAACAAAGTCCCCACATTTTTTGAATAAGCGAAGAATATTAATTAGAATACAAAATATTTAGTCATATATCTGACTAACTAAATTTCTAAATATTTCGCTGATCTATAGACTTTTTGTATTTTTGGCGATATTTTTCGGTTAACGTTGCGCTGTACGACCTCTGTACTTATACTGACTTTTCAGTCATACTGCTTAAGAAACAACTGCCGACGATTTCGGTAATTTAGTAATAGGGAATATCCTAATAAAAAAAATATATATATATATTTCCTTTGTTTTGATTTCTTCTTATTTTTTTCTCATAAATATTTCAATCCATATAACATATCAGTATCCTGAAAAGGTAGCGTACTATTTTTGCGCTCCTGGCTTTGGCACCATGATTAAGGATCATATGCGTTCAGTAGAAGTATCTGTAGAGATATAAACATCTTATAAGTATATATTTTAGATTGAATGTAACAATTGTTTCTTTTTTGTTGCAGAAACCCTACATTTGCAAAGCACCTGGCTGTACAAAACGTTATACCGATCCAAGTTCGTTACGTAAACACGTAAAGACCGTCCATGGCGCCGAGTTTTACGCTAATAAAAAGCACAAAGGCTTGCCTGTAAATGATGTCAACTCTCGATTACATCGGAACAACAATAACGGTGGTGGCCATAATAATAGGCAGAGTCTACAGGAACACAACATCGACTCGAGTCCCTGCTGCGACGATATACATGTTAGCAAGGGAGTTATGTCCAGCCCGAGTATTAAATCCGAATCCGATTGCAACTCTCCAAGTCATCACAATCATCAGTTAGTAAGTGGAGTTCCCGACGCGTTACATCACTATCCATCCGATCACGTGGTTGAGAATCTGACATTGGATGACAGTAACTGGAATTGTGAAGAAGATGTCGATGTAGCAGATCTACCAATTGTACTCCGAGCCATGGTGAATATTGGCAGTGGTGGAAATTTAAATGGAGGTGGAAATGTTAGGCAGCGTTTTAGAAGTCGTCTGCAAACGAAGGGATTATGCAACATACCGGAAAGTAATCATCATAACCGTACAATTGGCATTAGTGAACTAAACCAGAGAATAACAGAACTTAAAATGGAACCAGGAGTTACCTCTGTAGCTTCCCCAAAATCTGACATTTTAGGATATGCCGACGATTTGTCATCACAGAATCAAGTAAATAATCGTAATTTAATATTCAATAAGCAACAGAGCCTTCGTCGTGATAGCCAAAACTCTACAAGTAGCACTTATTATGGCAGCATGCCCAGTCGACGCAGCAGTCAGACATCACAGCTATCATCAATATCCACCATGAGACCCTGTACATCACATTATGTCACGACAAATGCCGCCTCTCTCTATGATCCCATTTCACCAGGTTGTTCGCGGCGCTCCTCCAGTCAAATGTCAAATATAATGCCAAGTTGTTACAGCTTACCTTCGGGAAATAGCAACACAATTAATGACTCTATTAATAAGACAGAAATTGATTTAAATTTCCAATGCATCAATTCATATAATAACAACAGCAATAGCGTTCCTCCGCCACCTTCTTCACATGTTATTGCCACGAATTTAAAAAGATTGCAAAATAATGACTTGGAAGGAGTTTGTTATCCGATTCAATCTACAAACTCCGGTCGCTATTCTATTCCCAATTATATACGAGCTGAATCGGATTTCCCCTATGATATATCGTCTCGGCGCCAATCTGAACCAACTAATCAGCAAAATGTTGAGCCAATAATTACCACTCAAAGTTCTATAAAAATTAAAAATGGCAACCAGCAGCTTAGAAAAGAGCTTCCAGTGAAGGTGGATAATGTTAATATACCTCTCGTCAACCCAACCAACGAAGTTAATATTGCACTCAACCCAAGCAACATGTGTATGCCTCGGAGCAACGAACAACATCCCAATGAACGCATAAATTTAGATGAAGTTGAGGAGCTAATACTACCCGATGAGATGTTACAGTACTTAAATTTGGTCAAAGAAGACAAACAAACAGAACAAGGTCAAGATGATACATTTTTACCAACAAAAGAAAACAAAACAACAGATCAACCAGACACTGAAGGTCTACAAATTTTACATCCCAATGTCCATAACTTTTCAAGAAACGAACCACAACCTATAGCGAAATCAAATCAAAATCAAATTATTGACTCGTCAATGACTAGTTTGCCTGAGTTAAATGTCAACACTGCTGGAAAATCAATAAGAAATGAAAATCAGAATCAAAACAATTATAATATTGAGATACAATGCGGCATTGTTAGTCAGTCACAAATGTCTCCGTCTTTAAATATTAACAATGAAGTCCTAACCACAACTAAAAAGATCCCAGAAACCATAAATAATTCAAATATCAACTCAATGCAACTAGACACATATCAGCGTACTTTGGAATACGTTCAATCCTGTCAAAATTGGATGGAGACAACAAAGAATACAGCATCGATAGTTGATCAAGTGCCAATGTCAGTGTGGCCTGATGTTAGCAGTTCCACACATCCGTTTCCGGGCGCAAATATGGTCATCAACGATATGACAACATCTTTAAGCTCACTTTTGGAGGAAAATCGGTATCTACAAATGATGCAGTAGTAGTTGGCAAAGTTTTTTTCAAAATTAAATCAGAAGATATCTATAAACAGTCCAGTCAGTATATTTCAACTTTTTTAAAATTTTATAAATGTTTTCATTTTTTTTTTTAAGTTTGGAAATATTTATTTTTGAAGAAGTTTTCAGTGTTACCTTGCAATTTTCTCGTTTCTCTCCATAAAAACTATTGAAACTCATTTGATTTTCAATGGAAATTATAAAAACAAGTTATAATTAAAATTGATAAATAATTAGAAAGTTATATATATATATTTTAGAATGTCGTAATTTTTTAATTATTCATAATATATAAAAAAAGAAATTATATAAATAAAGTCTTCCCAATTATTATATTTAACAATAAAAAACATTTTTAATAAGTCAATAAAACCACAAAATCTTTTAAAATAAAAAGTGTACTTTTATTTCTCATGCCACTTTCTTGCAACAATTAACGAAAAATAAGTACATAATAAAAGGTCTAAAAATGGTACACAAAATTTGGATTTTGGCAAATAAAACAACGATTTCAATTTCAATATCAATTTTTGTGCCAAACATATTCCTTTAAAGGTAAGAGAAAAGTGAGGATGACTTTTAACTCGATATATTTCCTAAACACTTGTATTATTTTTTTGCGACGATGAGGAATAAAGTTAATTGAATGCAAACCAAGCTAAATAAAACAAGAAGCTTCCTTTCTTGTTTTATTTAGCTTGGTTTGCATTCAATTAAATTCAATTAAATTTCAGAAAAAAACGAAACATCAATATTTTTTTTGGGAATTTTTATCCATTTACTCAAAAACAAAGTCCTACATTTCTTTTGGAAAATCTTTAACAATTCTTCTTTATATAAAAAAAAAATTTCATTGCGCGAAGTAGGATACCCTGCCCTGCCCTAAAGCACATCAAGGAAAAATCTTCGCTTCTCTTTCAGATGATAATTCTCGATCGTCCACCCCTACTCACTCTATTGACGTTGCAGCTGAGATCTGCAGAGTAGCTTCCAAGCGTGCTTAGCGTATGAACTCTGTGATCCAGACGCCCCGTGCAAAGTCGGCTATCCCTAAGATTGTTCTGATATTATCTGATATTCTACCTGAATAGAATTCCAACGGAATGGATCATGTTTTCAAATCGAGCTCTATTGGTTGGCAGCCGGGGCAGCCCAAGAGGTGACGATTGCATAACTTGGCACCATATACAAAAAAATAAACAGCTTGGCAGAGGATTACTGAGTCATACTCCTACCAGTCCAATGCTCCACTTGGCCATAATCAGTTTGCCTCACTGATGGGCGTTGATGATGATGATGATGAAAGTCGATGAAGTGAGTGATGTTGTCAATACCAAACCTGATTCCCCGTTGAAAATCAAGAAACCAAGCCCAATCTAGCAGCCTCCTGTCGATAAGGTTGTAGAATAGTTTAAAAAGCAAGGACACTTTGTTGTCAATAATTACAATCCGAAATCAAAGCTCTCTTCTCGGGTTAACTCTGATGGATGTATTATTGCCCAGCCCAATCAAAACATGTGGTTTCTTAACCCGTCCCCTGCTCCCAACAACAGGGACGTCTTAAAGATCCCTAGAGTTGGACGGATGTTGAAGTATCCGAGATCCAGATCTAGAGTTCGTGATCATTCCTCTGCCCATGTAGCTCCTTCTGCCTCCAATTCCAACTTGTTGCAAGAGCTTTAAAAGGTGGTCGCTCAGCTATCCCTTAGTGGCAGCTCTAGCCCAGAATGTCAACTAGATTCAGGGAGAATCCTCTCTGAGAGTTCCCAGTTATAAAGCCAATTATGCCTAATGACCTCCGCATTGGATTCTGGAACGGCCGCTACCTGGCATCAAATGTGAATGAGCTGCTTATGTATACCAAACACCATAAAATTGACGACATGTTAATTTCGGAGACATATTTACATCCTGGTATCAACTTTACTTTTGCAGGGTTCGAATTCCTGAGAGCAGACCACACTACCAATTGTCGCCGAGGTGTTTCAGCCATTCTGATCAAAAATGAAATTTCCTATTACCATCTTCGCGTTGTTAGGAATTTAAAAATATAACTTGCTACCGTCATGGGCTCAACTAGCAGGGGAGAGTTGCTGACTGGTGCAGCACATCTTCCTCCTTCATTATGTTAAAATAGTGTTGAGTTTAATCACCTACTGTCAGAACTGGGCCATAAGTTCATCTTAGGCGGTGACTTCAATGCAAAACGACGGTAGAGGGAGCGCTCTACATGATGCTATAACGATTTTTTCGGCACAAATTCTTGCGACTTGAAGCCCTACGTGCTTTCCATCCAACTCTAGGGCTACCCCGTCCTGTATTAATCTTATTATCTACAAATCGATTACAAGTAACCTAATCTTCATCAGGGACAAGAATGATCTTAGCTCTGACCAATTGCTGTTTTTAGCAACCTTGGCGTCTTGCTCCTACTACTTTTGTCTCTAAATCCAGGCAGCTGAAACAAGGATTTTATCTCTCTACCTTCAAAGATTCACTGGATAACTCCCTTGATCTTTCCACCTCCCAAAACAGGAACGTGGATTCAGCCATCAACACCCTCCTTACAAGGGTTAGGGAGGCTGCTGCTGTTGTCGCCCCACCGATGTCTTTAAGCTCTCTTACGGCAAGGCGTCATTGTGTGCTCTCTTCTGCAGTAGTGGGATTGCTGTTGCTAAAGAAGGACTTAGGCGTGAGTATATCCGCACATCCATTATAAGGATCAACAGGTTGTTCAGGAGGATCTCAAACAGAGTACAGACATTACTCAAGGCTAAAGTTACGGATCGTATGCTGGACAACGCGACACCTGATGCGAGCTCTAAATATTCCCTTTTGGAAGCTGAATATATCCTATAAGAGGCAATCTACTCCCAAGTTTTCTGTCAAAAAGGAGGATGGCACATGGCGAAAATCCACACAAGACAGAGTTGAAGCTTTGCTCAAAATCTGAAAGGTAGATTTACTCTTCTCGCAACTGCCTCTGCCCGGAGAGAACAGATAGTGGCTGACAAGCTTGCAATGACACACCAAATGGAACTCCCTGTGGAACCTACCTGTAACCCTGCTGGATGTTAAAATGGACATTAAAAAATAGATACCAAGAAAGCCCTCTGGAGAGGATCAAATTGTCAATCGTGTTGCAAAAACTCTGCCCTTTAGAGCACGGCTATATCTTATACTCATATTTAACCGGAAGTTGAGTTATTTTCCAAAGGCTTGAAAAAGTGCTGGCATTGCAATGATCCTTTAACCTGGCAAACCACCGGAAGACGGCCTATTAGCCTCCTTTCCAGTATATACTCGAGGGGTTTCACTGTAAGCAGTACGTGGTGGTTGCCTATCTAGCCAGACAGCAGGCGTTTGATAGGGTGTGGCATGCAGTGCTACTTTGCTAGCTCAAGCTGTTAATTAACCCGCAAATATTCGAAATGGTAAGGAGCTTTCTCTCTGACAGGACGTTCAAGGAGGTCCAGTATGGAACCCTATCCTCTCAAAGGTTGATCAAAGCTGGAGTTCCTCAAGGAAGCGTCCTGGGACCGACGTTGTACACCTTGTTTACCCACGATACGACAAAGCAGGTCAGGGAGTATAAGTACCTGGGGGTCAAATGGACTCCCGATTAACCTTTGTCTAGCATACAAGTACAGTATGGAGCTTAATGGAGGATAAGGCCAGAAGGCTGCTGAAGGCAAATACTCACCTAAGGTCCGTATATACAATTCCATACTTGCACCCACTTCGTATTGGGGTCAAAATTAATCTGAGTCTCATCCAGGTATTCCACAACAAGTTCTTTTGGAGAATTACTGGTGCTGAGTGGTTCATCCGTAACGTAGACACAGCGAGAGATCTTAAAGTTCCCTTGATTGGTGACATAATCAATGAGCAAGTCAAAAACTATGGGAATAAGCTAATATCAGACCCAAATATCCTTGCCAGAAGACTTGAGTCTCGGCGGACTAGGCGAATACTTAAAAGAATTCATCCCTCGTACCTTCTAAGGAGAAAGATTTATTAAAATCAGTTTTAATTCCCTGACACTTCCTCCACCCAATTAACCAATTTTAACCCTGACACTTTTGTAAGTTTCCATTAGATCTTCTCTAAATCGCTTGCACGAATTAGGTACATTTTTCGAAGACTACTGCTGTGTAAAAAATAAATTTCCAAGTACGACTATAACGATTTTTCCATTTAAATGTGGAATTTGGTAATGTAAAATTTATAAGATAATTAGAAAAAATATTATGTTTATGTTTCTTTATGCGTTCGAGTTTTTATAATCTTTAAAAATTGAAAATTTGATGCAAAAGTTTGTACACTCTTGCAGGTTGCAAATCGATCCCTACATTCACCTATACTTATTATATTAACATCTAATGTAGCATTTACTACAAACCAATATATCAAGTAGTCGTTTCCTAACATTTCAATTGGAAACAATAATATAAATAAAGTGTATTGTGAACCTTTTTGTTGAACTTCAACAGCAGGCATTTGTCTTTAAGGTGGTAAGTTGAAATGTCTTAATGTGGATTGTGCATTTGAGGTTTAATTCAACAATCTGTCCGTAGTCAAAAATGCCTAATTGACGACGTGCGAACATCGGCCGCCGCACAAGACAAGCAAAACAAGAAACAAGTGTATTCACACAACTTTAGCGAAGAAAGGCAAAATATAATAGAAGAAAATGCCATATTGAGACAAAGCGTGAGCACAAGAGGATCATTGGCATCATAATATCGCTTGGCATTCCAATATGATCCCACTGCGAACTACAGTGATTATGAAAATTTGGATATTGGACCAAATACCCCTATATTCTGATATTGCAATGCGTTAAAGTTCAAAAGAGAAACGGCTGAATTGTGTTGCCCAAGTGGAAAAATCAAACTGGATCCATTACTTACACCACCACAGCCACTGAAACCATTGTGAAGTGATCCCGATTCCAGCTATTTCCTTCAACACATCCTTGAATACAATAACTGCTTCGCATGACTTCCTTTGAAGCTAAAATATATTAGGTAAAAATTACACCGTATTCTTCAAAAAAGTTATTGTTTGCAATTACAAATACAAAGACAAATATATCATTGTCGCGGATGCACGGTGCTAACACCAGTTGAACTGCATCAATTTCTGCGAAGATATTCGTCGATGGTGAATCAGCTGAATGTGCGATGCAATATATAAAATATATATATGCGATATATATATAAAAGTATATATTTTTGATTAGGAGCCGCAGCCGAGTAGATCTAGCCATGTCCGTCTATCCGTCCGTTTCCACGCAAACTAGTCTCTCTGTATCAAAGCTATCTAAATGAAACTTTGCAGGTACTGGCCGGATCAAACGACTATATTATATAGCTGCCATAGGAACAATCGGAAAACTGTTATAAAAAAAATATAACTCAGGTTTCCACCGGATTTTCATCAATTTATATAAATACTAGGAAACCCGGCGAACTCTGTTTCGCTACCAGATGGCTTCGTTTTATGTAACATTTCGTTTGGTGATTAAAAGAAGAACAAATTTATTTCATTTCACAACGGTAATGAATTTATTTCGATTACAAAAAGCGTTCTAGTTGTCCGCAAATTATCCATTTCAGTTCAGTGCTCGTTGGTAAACTACATTTTTATTTTTTGGTCTGTCGTTAACACAAACAAAGAGGATGGTTTCCAAACTCGTGAACACGCAACGTATAACTGCCCATGTGAAAAACAATGATTTTCTAAATTTATTCCGCAAACACTAAGCGATTGGCCTTACGCCTTTACAAGGAGAACTGAAAATTGCAATCGTTTAAAGTCAAACGGAAGATCAGTCGGAATCATTGGTATTCGAGGAATACATACATGTTCACCCGCCTCCTTTCCGTTAATTCTGGTTGCTTCAAATTCGGCATAAGTCTTTTTACCGACAGTCGAATACCGTTGCAAAGTCGTGGTGGATTCAAATTACGAAATATCATAATAACTGTGCCAACTTTGCAAGTTGCAAGTTATGTGGTGGAAATCCTGGTAACTCCAAAGAGTTCAAAAACTCCGTCGGATAATTTACTACATAATCGGGATATGTTATGGCATCAACGAATTTGTATGTCACCAAATCGCCAGCAATTTTTAATTGAATTGTGAAATTCAGTCCGTCTCCATCATTATTCTTTGCGGCAAGAATTGCTCGTTGACCTAACCAAGCTTAATTCTGATAATTCTCACTAATGTTTGGGAAAACATTTTCAATAAGAGCTAATTGAGAGGCTACAAATCGGCTAAAGTCGTTGGTAAGAGTAATTAATCCAGATGTCGCATAAACTGGGACTTTTCCATTTCCAACAGCTAAGAATTGTTTGAAAAATTGTGCAGCACATTAATCATTTTGAAGTTGAACTCTCATATTAGTGTTTAGCGATAATGTTTTTACGTTATTCCATAAAGGTGATGCCTTCAAGCAAGCATTCCATTCATCTGCAGGCGTTCCACAGGGAATTACTGCCGTCTGCCTGAAATCGCCTCCCAACAATATCATCAAGCCTCGAAAGATGTTGTTATTTTGCCGAAAATCCTTCGTTGGAAGATCAGTACTTTCTTATGTTTGGAAGGTAATTTAACTTGAGTGGTAACTGAAACGCAGAATGTGAAGTACGACCGTCATCTAGAAGAGTCGCCACAATGACAATAATCGCAACAGTGCTTCATTAGTACTGACGTATTTGTCCATTTAGAATTTGCTGATTTTGGCATTCGCATTTTGCAACGCAATACCAATAACACATCCAGGTCGCTGCCTTTTGTGACGTACTTGCACAAATATTTGATTGATTTGCCCGAATGTCAACTCTTAACGATTGCATGTTTTTCGAAAATTCGTGATAGCAGAGGGCAATTTGGTACAATGAATTCATTTCCAATCTCAATATCTTGACCTCACGGTCCATGCACCATCTGTTTGCTTTTATGATGTTATCCACTACATTTGAATGTAATTTGTTCAGCAACCAAATTAGGATATGAGTATGCGGTAGTCCACGCTTCTACCATTCCACCGAGTACATATAACAACGTGTGTCACCAAAAACTTGATACTTAGTAATCACTTCCATCATAACTGTTTTTGTCTGAAATACTCTGGAGCTATGTCATGGCAATCATGCAGTTTTTGACCCGATTCCAACTCACGTTCAATTTCCATCCACTTCGTATTGCATGTGAACGCAATAAATAAATCCGGAGTTCCATAATTTCGCACATACGTCATTGCGTCTTGAGCGTATTGGTGCATGTGGCGTTGGCTTACGATATAAGATTATTGGAGAATCGTCAGACGTTCAATATTCTGAATATCACTATCTGAATGAATTGCATCACGCAGGTGACTGAATCGGATGAACGCGAAACGTTTGCTGTCGATAGTGAATTGCTGGAACAGCCAACGGTACTTCAGAATGACATTCTCATGTGTACGAATCATCATACGATACGCAGAGTAATTCATTGCGCTTAGATTTTTATTCGTTGATACGCCTGAAAATGCAACATTAAATGAATTGGTAATGGAAACCAATAATAGCAAATATTAGTATGTAAATATTGTACCTGTAATTGGATCGAACATATTTAACATGTTCTTGAAAATAAAAGATTGAATATTGAAATGCATGATATTGCTTTCTCGCTGAACGAAAATGTCTCGCGATTTATTTTGGATCGCCAACTATAATTGCAGCAACATCAGTAACGGTGGATGCATTCAATACGGTGTAACTTTTACCTTGAAATGAATGAAATTAGCTCCAAAGGAAGTTGTGCGAAAGCACTTATTGTATTTAAGGATGTGTTGAAATGGCTGGAATCTGGATCACTTCCATCGAACAATGGTTTCCGTGGCACTGGTGGTGTAAGTAATGGATCCACATTGCAATATCAGCATAAATGCACGATACACATAATAAACACATTTTAACTTTTCACCTTAAAGACAAATGTCTGCTGTTGAAGTTCAACAAAAATGTTCACAATACTTACACAACAATACTTTATTTTGGATTTGTTTCCAATTGAAATGTTAGTAAACGACTACTTGATATATTAGTTTGTAATAAATGCTATATATCAGAGATGGATTTCCCGCTTCTCTGTTGAAGTTTTTCCTAAATTTTCTTTGCTCTAAACCTCATGGAGTCCAAAACCTTTCCAACGAATGCAAAACCGACTTATTTTTATATATACTTTATATATATGTATATGTATATACCTACATGTAATGTACCTAATTCGTGCAAGCGATTTAGAGAAGATCTAATGGAAACTTACAAAAGTGTCAGGGTTAAAATTGGTTAATTGGGTGGAGGAAGTGTCAGGGAGTTAAAACTGATTTTAATAAATCTTTCTCCTTAGAAGGTACGAGGGATGAATTCTTTTAAGTATTCGCCTAGTCCGCCGAGACTCAAGTCTTCTGGCAAGGATATTTGGGTCTGATATTAGCTTATTCCCATAGTTTTTGACTTGCTCATTGATTATGTCACCAATCAAGGGAACTTTAAGATCTCTCGCTGTGTCTACGTTACGGATGAACCACTCAGCACCAGTAATTCTCCAAAAGAACTTGTTGTGGAATACCTGGATGAGACTCAGATTAGTTTTGACCCCAATACGAAGTGGGTGCAAGTATGGAATTGTATATACGGACCTTAGGTGAGTATTTGCCTTCAGCAGCCTTCTGGCCTTATCCTCCATTAAGCTCCATACTGTACTTGTATGCTAGACGAAGGTTAATCGGGAGTCCATTTGACCCCCAGGTACTTATACTCCCTGACCTGCTTTGTCGTATCGTGGGTAAACAAGGTGTACAACGTCGGTCCCAGGACGCTTCCTTGAGGAACTCCAGCTTTGATCAACCTTTGAGAGGATAGGGGTCCATACTGGACCTCCTTGAACGTCCTGTCAGAGAGAAAGCTCCTTACCATTTCGAATATTTGCGGGTTAATTAACAGCTTGAGCTAGCAAAGTAGCACTGCATGCCACACCCTATCAAACGCCTGCTGTCTGGCTAGATAGGCAACCACCACGTACTGCTTACAGTGAAACCCCTCGAGTATATACTGGAAAGGAGGCTAATATGCCGTCTTCAGGTGGTTTGCCAGGTTAAAGGAACATTGCAATGCAAGCTCAAAGGACCTAACAGTTTTAATGCAAGCGAACTTTCCAGGATCTACAGGGACCACCGATGGCAACGCGCACAAGGGCATCTCCCAACAGATCTACAATCATCTAGAAGAAGCCACTTGGATAAGGAGCATTCTAAGTTGTAGGTGAGTAAAATGGAAGGGAGCAAACAGAGTCACGCCACAAGGTGTGGCCCGTTCGAAATCCTATGGAATCTGCTGATCAAGAGATTCCAGATCAAAGATAACAGGTTATGCAGACGACGTAAGCATAATTTTACGAGAGTCTGTCCATCGGCCCTCAGCTCGGTTACAGAAACAGCAGCCAGGGAGATAATAAAATAATATACATATACATATCTTCTATCTTCTATCTTCTATATATATAAAAATGAATTGCTGTTCGTTAGTCTCGCTAAAACTCGAGAATGGCTGAACGGATTTATCTTATCTTGGTCTTGAATTATTCGTGGAGGTCTAGGGAAGGTTTAAAAGGTGAGAAAAATTCGATTAATTGCCGGGAAAATCCTCAAAACAGTATTTTTCTATTTCCCATACAAACGTTTTCTAAATAAAACTACCTTACATCTACCGCCCTCTACAGGCAGCCAAAGCATTTCCTGTCAAACATTCAAAACATATTGAAATAAGGAATTGGAGATAAAAATTTTATTTTTTTGTTCAGGTTCAGTAAGAAACGAAGTCCTGCCACCCAAGAAGTAGAGTTTGGGTCGTCGTAAGCGTAATACAGAAGCAAAAAGACGTAAGATTACGAATATAACTGACGAAGAACGGGCCTCCATCCGAGAGACTGAGCGGCTGAGAGCAATGCAGATGCACAAAGAAGAATCAGCAGAAAGACGAGCAGATAGGCTTGAGAGAAAACGATTAAGAGTTAGACAGTCGCGTTCTGCAGCAATTTGATTCACTCTCAAAATAATGAACGCGACAGGGCAAGGGTAGCTGAAGCGCGTTTACAGCTTGCAGAAGATCAGATATAATCCAACTATTGATTACAGCTCGAATCGAATGTCGTTATTGGCCGGATGCAACAGGTCTGCATATACTGTCACGCCTCTTAGATTGAATCAGACGAAACTTCGGTCCGAGGAATATATCCATTTGCGGGATGCTGTGATGAATGCTGCAACTCTTTTGAAGGATGGCAAAACTGCTCATTCTACTTTTAAACTTCCACTATCCGTCAATCTTGAACAACAATCTACATGTTCCATCCGCAAAAATGGACCTATTGGTAAATTACTACAAGACGCCTCATTGATTATGTGGGACGAATGCACGATGAGCCATAGAGCACATATAGAGGCCGTGAACAGAACCTTACAGGATCTAAGGAACTCCTCTGCAGTCATGGGCGGGATTACTTTTGTATTTGCTGGAGATTTTCAACAGACTCTCCCCGTTATTAACAGAGGCACGCGAGCAGATATCATCGTAATACAGAAGCAAAAAGACGTAAGATTACGAATATAACTGACGAAGAACGGGCCTCCATCCGAGAGACTGAGCGGCTGAGAGCAATGCAGATGCACAAGGAAGAATCAGCAGAAAGACGAGCAGATAGGCTTGAGAGAAAACGATTAAGATCGATTTGATTCACTCTCAAAATAACGCGACAGGGCAAGGGTAGCTGAAGCGCGTTTACAGCTTGCTGAAGATCAGATATAATCCAACTATTGATTACAGCTCGAATCGAATGTCGTTATTGGCCGGATGCATCAGGTTTGCCTCTTAGATTGAATCAGACGAAATTTCGGTCCGAGGAATATATCCATTTGCGGGATGCTGTGATGAATGCTGCAACTCTTTTGAAGGATGGCAAAACTGCTCATTCTACTTTTAAACTTCCACTATTCGTCAATCTTGAACAACAATCTACATGTTCAATACGCAAAAATGGACCTATTGGTAAATTACTACAAGAGGCATCATTGATTATGTGGGACATTGGGATTAAGGACAAATATGAGAGCTCATCTTCATGGAATCACTGATAGCGATTTCCCACAGCAACTGCTAAAACTTGGGGAAGGAATTTTTCCAACTCCAAATTTAAGCGGTCATTGTGACATTCTTCTGGATGAGTCTCTAGGCCAAATACTCCATAATTTGAAAAATTTAATAGATTCTGTATACCCTGATATCGAGAATTTGCACGGAAGAGACTTCCATTGGCTGTGTTCTCGGGCTATAGTATCACCTAAGAATGATACTGTCAATGAAATAAATAATCTGATTGTTCAAAAAGTCCCCGGCCAAACAAAAACATACAAATCGATCGACACTGTAACGAATATTGAAGATGCAGTCCATTATCCACAGGAATTTTTAAATTCGTTGAACCCTTCTGGACTGCCACCCCATGAATTGACGTTAAAAATCGGAAACACAATCATGCTTTTAAGAAATTTAAACCCTCCAAGCATGTGTAATGGGAGGAGGCTGCTTATTAAGAAGTTAAAGGACAATTTAATTGTAGCAACTATTATCACTGGCCCAGCAAGGGGTCAACTAGCTCATATACCGAGGATACCGATGTTCCCAACTGATCTGCCAATCCCATTTAAACGGCTTCAATTTCCGGTAAAAACATCTTTCGCATTAACAATTAACAAGTCCCAAGGCCAAACCTTCGAATTAGTAGGGATCGATCTGCGAAATAAATGTTTTACTCATGGTCAACTGTATGTTGGTCTATCGCGAGTCGGAGCCCCTGAAAATCAATTTATTTTGCTGCCACAAAATAAAACAACATCAAATATTGTTTACAGAGAACCACTAACTAAATAAATGTAATAAACTCAATAATTGAAAAAAAGGATGAATATGTGTCATATTATTATTATTATTATTATTATGAATGTGTTGAAATTGACTAATCTAAATGTAATGTTTAATTCCCGTGCGAAGCCGGGACGGGCCGCTAGTACATATATACATATATAATATACACATCGAAATAGATGCTTAGCAGCACGTTGGGTCTCTACCCCACTTTTATGCACTGGGTTAACATATCGGTAGTGCGTCCGACACTGCTGTATGCAGTCAACCCCGGAATTGAACCCCTAAATATCCACGCGTAACCGACTGCAGGAGGGGCAGCACAACGCCTAGTGGAATTTGGAAATTTGTCTTTGCAAGGATTCGGGCAAGGTTTGGGACGATCGGCCAGTGCTCGGGTGGCTCATAGATGGGCAGGATTTGTCAGATATTTAATTTTGTTCAGGTATGCTTGATGGAAAAGATACCGAAAAGGTCCCAGGATATAACGTGGGGGTAATTAGGCAGTAATGATAATCTTAACTTTTAATGGTTCGAACAATGAGTCGCGGCGATGTCTGCTTCAGGTCGGGACCTGGGTATGCGAATCGCATGCCGGAGTCTTTTAAGGTAAGAATAGTTTAAAAGCCCCTGAGGACTTCCAATGGTTTAAGGGATCTAAAGCCATCCAAATCAAAGGCCCTGAGCACTATCAAAGTGAGAAGGTCGAGATATGGCCTAAAAGTTGCTATGGATCCGTAAACCGAACTGAGAGGTCGACTACTACGTTTAGATTCCTTGTATTACCAGGTCGAACTCCTACTGCTCATTATTTTAGGTGCATGAGCATGGTGCGTAGTACTGCTGCCCGATGGGTGTTGTCTTTGGCGCTTCTGCCCGATTCGGTATCGACGACCATGCTTCGGCGCGACCTCCATCCGGCTCCCGCGCAGCGAGCGATATCTTCAACTTTCCTTCTGCTGTTTGAGCAACCGTTACTTTGGCTGGGGGTGCTTGAACTAGCACTTTATTCAGGCTTTTTTAGACTGTCAAATGATTTCTGGTAATTTTTCTTCCATTCCATTTTTTCCTTATCTGATAAAGTCCTGGAGAGCGTCGTCATGTTCTTTGAAATTGGATATGAACCGTCGACACCATGATGCCATGATCACACTTCTAGAAAACTGTGCACTACCTTCCTTGTTTTCCGGGCTGTTCGCAGGGACTGGCAGACTCTCCTGTGCTTAGGCACTAAGAATAGATAATTTTCAAATACATTTTTAATCAAAAAGAACCAGGCTCAACTATTTTAGACTGACAATGAATATTAAATATGGAGAACTCATAGAACCTAAATGCCCTTTTCTATAACAGTTTGTAAGTGATGAAGAAAGGGCTAACCTCTTTTCCCCTTCACTTGTAAAACGTTTTTAAGCACGTTTGCGTCGTTCATAAATTATATTTAAAAAACTGATTATTTTTCATCTATTATCACACTTTAAAAACAACAGAGCAATTCCAAAACTCTCATTTCGGAGGGTCTTCACACAGAGATCCATTTGCCTTCCTCTATCCGTTGAACGGATGGTCCATAGTTTTTCCGTTCCGAAATTTCTCATCCTTTTTCCATCCGAATTTTATGGACTTGTTTTGACGATAGTTAGGCAATAGTTTTTCGGTGCAACACTGAATTATTCTTGTCGGTAAAAATTTGACCACTACGGAAATGTACACAAAGATGGCAAGGAACGAATGAAATATGGAATGCGTCTTATTCTAATTCTAATTCATTTTAATATAGAGCCAACATTAAATGCCGCACTTTGCATTTTTTGTTGTTGAACTTTCCAAAATAGTTGTTAACTTATTCCGTCAAAGGTACTTTAAGCAGTTCTGTTTACGTTTTGGATGAGCCACAGCTGTTCGAATGGAGATGTAGCTCTGTGGGAATCGGAGTTTCACATCTGCGAAAAATACCAACTGTTTCACACGGATGGATTGTGTGGGAAGCGAAGAACAACAAGAGTGTCACTTTTGACCACTCTATTCAAGCTCATATATTCATAGCATCGGATCACATACAAGGTGAGTTCCAAAGTAAGCAGTACTTTTTGAATCTAGCGCCCTCTAGTAGCGCCATCTATATGTCAACTGGTGCGTTAGAATCTGCTATCGTTTACCGACTTCCAGTAAAAATTTCATGACATTTCATCTAGTGGAAGTGAGGTTGTTGCATTTTAAGTGTCGGCATGTTTTTGTCATCGATGCGAAAATGAGCTTCGAACAAAGACCAAACATTAAATTTTCTTTTAAAATTGGTAAAACTTTTACCGAAACGTTTCAATTGATGAAACAAGTTTATGGCGATGATTGCCTATCCCGTAGCAGAGTGCACGAGTGGATTTAACGTTTTCAAAGTGGTCGTGAGGACGTAAATGACGATGAACATGTGGGACAACCAAAATCCGTTATCACCGAAAATTCCATCGAAACTGTGCGTGAATTTATAAAAAATCAGCCGAAATCATCATTGAAATTCATGGAAATAGAATTGAACATCTCCAAAACATCGATTTATCGCATTTTGGCCGAACATTTGGGCTTACAAAAGGTATGTGCACGATTAGTTCCGCACAAATTGACTGACGTCCAAAAATTCCTCAGAATTCAACATTCGAAGGACATCATTAAAGAGGTAAAAAAAGACCCGAACTTCCTTTACAAGATTGTGACTGGTGGCGAAAAATGGTGTTTTCAATATGATCCCGAAACGAAACGCCAGAGTGCTGAATGGAAGGCGCCGGACGAGCCGAAACCCAAATCAATCAAATTTGTTTTTATGATTCCAACGGTATTCTCCACAAAGAATTTGTTCCACCCGGCCAAAACGGCCGGTATTCGGTATGCGGTATTCTATCTTGGAGTTTTGAAGCGTTTGGTGCGCCGTATTCGACATGTTCGGCCCGAATATCGCGAAGATGGAAGTTGCGTTGGCGATCGACGCTTGTGTCCGACTATTTGACTATTTGAAAATCACATTTTAACCATCAACCATCAACATATGGTACCGTGCGACTTCTACCTTTTCGGAAAAATTTATTTGCCGATGTAAGGAAAGCGTAATGCAGACGTAGAGACCATTCAAAAGGCTTGCACCGGCATACTGGTGGCTATATCGGGCAACGAGCTAAAAAACTCGTTCGACAAAGCAGAAGAAGACTATTTTAAATAAAATAAATTGATTTTGCCGAAAAAACTATTTGTTCTGTCTTTTTTTTTAAGTCCTGTTTGCTTTGGAACTCATCTTGTATTAACAGATTGTTCTTATGCTTCTTACACCAGGTACTTTTCGTTGGCCGGTGCCGATGGTACTCGCACATGTGACGAAAGAAGGAATAAGCAACCGGTGAAAAAGAATACCAAATGCTAAATAAATTAAGTAAAAAATACTCGGGTGTTTTGAAGACTCAACAAACTACAAACTTGCAGCTCTCCGTCATTGTGTTCCGTCATGGCATCAATTTTCAAAATGTTTAAATATTGTAAAAATATTGAGGATTTTTCATCGGTTGCCTTATTGGAAAACAAATTATTCGACAAAATGTGGAAGAAAAATGATCGTGTACGGCATAAGGCACCTCCACCACACACTCAAGAATTGCCTGATTGAAATCAAATTATTGTGTGCAGATCATATGAAAACCTACAATAGCTCTTAAATAAATACTAAAAGTTGTTCACGCAATCCAAAAAGCCCGCATAGTTCTAATAACTTAAACAAAAAAGCTTACCTTTTTCCTAATTTAGTTGCCACTTAATGCTAAGATTGAAAAAACCGCACTAGACGAAATAGACAGGTACTGCAAGGGAAAAGGGTACCCAATATCGAAAATGTTGAAGCTATCAAGTGATGAAAAACTTACGAACTGAATGGTCGAAGCTAGCCTCTGCACTTCATGCCATACCTGCAAGCAGTTCCGCCGCGGAAAGGGTATTTCATTGGCAGCAATAAAATCACTGAAAACAGAAATAGACGGTCTTCCAAATATGTTCAGTATTGTTTGGTTGCACTTCTTTTTTAAATGTGTCAATATATCCGAATTTGAAGTACAAAAAGATTGAAATGGAAAATATTAAACTGGATAGACGCAATTTTTTATTTTTATTTAATTAAAAACACATAGGAAAAATGAAATAGTAACTAACAGTAACTCAAACAAGAGTACATTTTTATTATTATTATTATTTTTAATTTCCTAAGTAACCAAAAAAATTAAATTCTAATTAATATCTTCTTATACTCTTGCAGGATATTATAACTTTAGTCAGAAATTTGCAACGCAGAGATCAAGACATTTCCGACCATATAAAGCATATACATTCTGGATCAGGATCAACAACCGACTCGATCTTGCCATGTCCGTCTGTCCGTTTCAACGCCAACTAGTTTAAAGCTATCTAAACGAAACTTCTATACAATCTCACTCGTAACAAAAAATTTCTAAAAAAAAAATTATCTTTTTTAGTTTTCAACAGATTTTCATTAAATTTAAGATATAGTCGTTTTATATTATTCTATTTTTTTTTTAATTTTATAAAAAGCGGACTATTATGTCATATGGCTGCCATAAGAACGATCGAGAAATTAATACACTTGAAAATTATACCTTTTTCAGATTTTCATCAAATTGAAGATGTAGCCTTTTAAACTTATTCCATTTCGATATTAATTTATGAAAATCGGAAAATTTGGAGACTAACTGCAAAGTTTTTTCAGATAGCTTTAAAACTTAGCGACTAGCTGCGTAGAAACGAACAGACGGACATGCCTAGATCAACTCTGTTGTTGATGCTGATCAAGAATATATATACTATATATAGTCGGAGGTGACTTGACTGAAATTATAATACCCGGCAAGGGTATACAAATGTTCCGGCATCTGAATAATAAAGTCGTCCGATTCGGCCCTTTCCGACATTCAAGTATAAACTAGTGAGAGTATAGGAGACTAACTGCAAGGACTAGTTTGCGTAGTATGTAAAATATTTTAGTGTCGAAAATGTCTCCACTGCGTTGCCAATTTCCGACTAAAAATAATAGTATCCTGAGAGGGTATACAAATTACTTAACGTTTAGGCTCTTTTCACATCTGGGTGTACTGGGTGTACATCTGTGGTGTACTTTAGCACGTTCAGCAGGTATTCGTCTGTCGCCTTCACCTTAAAAAGCAAAACAAAATAAACAATTAGTTTGTTAGATTATAACATTTTCAATAAGTTTATATATAAGTAAATTAAAAGTGGGTTTCAGAAACAATATCTTCATCACATATAATAAGAGACGAAAAATAAAAGTTCATCACATAAAACAAAACTTCATATTTTTATATAAAAATGTTTGGCAAGAGTTCGCACTTAAAAATCGAGATGCATAATTGGAGCTCCAAAAATGCATACGCCACTCTTGTTATATTATTAATATTAATTGACATTAATATACATACCAAAATGTAAAAAATGGCCTCGATTTCGATCCGCTGTCTTCTTCCTGAAATTTAAAAATGTTAAGAATGGCTTATCTATTATGGGAAATTTTTTAAACTCACACTGTATACTGCTTCGAGCGATCAATCTTGTAACCTAAATATATAAAGTGGAAATCCCAAAGTACTTACTACAAAAATAAACGAAAACACTTTCCTATTTGTGTGGATTAGATGTGTATTTCTTTTAGCAGCAACACATATGAAAAGCAATTCTAGACAGCTTCCTGGACTGGTGGCTCATAGCCCTCGGGACGATCGATGACGGCTCCCTCGGTGGAAACTACAGCTTCAGTGGACTTGCCGCCACCATCACCGTGCAGTTCCAAAAGCTTCGAGACATCGAAACGGGGCTTCTTCAGCACCTTCACTTTGCGTATGAAGACATCGTGCAGGGGATAAATGCGCTGACAGTTCTTCTCAATATCCTTAGCAATCGAGTCCAAAGCGAGCTTGTTGACCAGTTGCTTCAGATCAGCTCCGCTGACCTCATTGGTGATAATGTCAGTCATACGAGCACGAATCTTGCGGACTTGCGACTGCTGAGCATAGCAAGTTTTGCGCTGCGACTGCTGATCCTTGGCGGTGAAGCCAATGCAAAATACACGCAGGAGATAACCATCAATGGTCTTGGCCTCAACAATAGCTTCAATCAGTGTTTGCCACTTCTTAACCATGGACCTGAAGGAACATTGTTTTTGATTAATTTAATTGAGATCACTATATTTGCATCATAAATAAGAATTGAATTATATATATATATATATTTATAGATGTATAAACCACATAAACCTGACCTGTACTTATCAGTGGTCAAATCCATGCCATGGAAATTGCAGAGCACATTGCGGTCCTGCACGTCCTCGGCAATAAGACGGAACTTCCGGAAGGAGCGCTCGGGATCAATATCCTTTTGCAAATCAGCTAGGGAAACCTCGAAAACGCGACCCTTCAGGTAATCCGAAGCGATACGCTGGCCCTGGGTACGGTTCACGAGGGTTTTGCCGATTTGGCGTGTTTGAAACATGTTGGGGGCCTTGACATCGTACCAGTCCTTTCGTGAGAATGGATCAATAACCTTCTTCTTGCCGCCCTTTTTGCCGCCTTTGGAAAGACCCTTATTTTTGCCGACTGCCATGTTGAACGGATAAAACCGGAAAAGGTGGAGGCACGTTGACAACCAGTTGTCAAAAGAAGGAAACCAGTGTTGAGCAGTCTCAATCAAAAAATAAAAAGGCCCTAACGCACGAGCCAATTCATGTTTGTTAACAAAGCAATAATATCAATACCAAAGTTTGTCAGACGTCCTCCTGTTTTCACTGCGTCAGTTATCGCAATGTTTATGTAAATGTCTTGTAAACCTCAAACAACTGCTTGGTTAAAGGTATTAAAATTATTCCACAATTGCTTGGCCAATTGCAGTGCAAGGCATCACCGAACTTTGCCACCACTGCCAAGGAATGGTTCCGTAGGGATTAGCCTGATATATTAGAGTGGGTTCAAGAATGACAAAATAATGCTTTCATTAAAATATTGAATGACGCACCTACATATGTTATTTTGCTCGAAATTTTGATTTAATACAAAGGTCGAATTCAGAAGATAAATTATTAGTATTTCCAAAGTCCTCGTCATGCATTAAAGTACGCAAAAGACCGTAAATAAAATGTTCAACAAACCATATATAATTAACATTCAAATAAATTATTTTTTTAATTTTGCAGCGCAAGAAGCCAAAACATATTTATTAATATTTTTAAGAATTGTAGCATTTTAGTTCCGACAAAAAATTTCAAACAACCAAGAGAAAAAATTCGAAACGGAAACCTGAATACAAAAATACAAGAAATGTTGATGGCGTTAGGAGATACCTGACGGTACACTACACATTTCTCGAGCGGGGTCCTAAAAGAAAACGAAAATATCTCGATGCTCCAAGTACAGATTTATTAATCGTTGGATGCTATTGGATTTCAGTTGCCAGCCTTATCGGGCCTAGCCCGATGGGTTGCCCCAAAAAATGCTGAATAACTAGTGAAAAGAGCGATAAAACATTAAAAGAATTAGGTTTTTCCGCTGCGAAACAGTTTCACCTTTCCAAACCGTATTTTTTCTTTTGAAGTGTGATCGCTGTTTCCACTTTTTTTCAACATTTTTGGAGGGCAAATTTTGCCGTCATACTTTGTTGATTCTGCTTTATTTTAACTTAAGCTACGTTAAACATTTGATGCTTGGTTTTTTATTAAAATTTTTCCTAAAGCTATTGGCATAGATTCTAGCGGTGGCGCCTCCCTTGGACAGCTCCCGGGCGTCTAATAAAAATTCGGAATTCCTGTACAAGAAAATCGGATAACTCGATACGGGTAGATCGGTGACAGGTTCATAAAAGAACATGTTGCCACCAGTAGCAATGCCTATGTAGATAGGTTTCAGTGGTGAGCCCCAATACTGGGGCCTCCAATTAGAGCTAAGCTCCTTTTTGATCCACTCCGTCTGTTTGTTGTTGTTGTTCACTATCAGTAACACCCAGAGACAGTAAGGAAACCTAGGATTGCCGAAACTTTCAGCTTTCCTATGCTTCCCAGTGACTCCATCTGGTAGGCACCAAAGTGGCGAAGTCTGATGTGATTTAGCGCTGGGCAGAAGCAGAGCAGATGTTCCGGCGTCTCTTGCTCTGTAGGTTGCTTAAAGCTTCTACAGATTGCATTGCATGGCAGTCCCAACTTCATGGCGTGCAAACCGATCGCCCAATGTCCCGTGGTGACTGCCGTGATCCTGCTAATATCCCGCTTGCTGTTGAATAGCAGTTCACTGGTTTAGAATACCTATGTACTCCCTCGGCGTATCCATCGGGTCTGTCCCGGATAAAACTGGCAACCGAAATCCAATGGCATCCAACATGGTCCACGGTATCGACCTGTCGTTTAATAAACTGTGCGCTGAGCATCGAGATCTCAGAGATAGGCAAGTAAAGTAAAGTAAAGTAAACCATCTGGGAGCTGCCTAAATCCTGGTACTTAAGTAAGATAAATATTCTCCATGCGGCAAAACGCAATACAAAAGAGAAGAAGAAAAGCCATCTCAGCTTTCGCTCGGGCGGGTTCCATATTAAAATATGCCATATTAAAATATAAACAGCTGTCTTCTGTTGCATCCTTGATCCTTTGCTCAAGGATTTTTGCAGTGTCTTCAACGTCTTCCGCCTAGTTAAGCTCCATTTAGAGGTGCAGGGAGTCCTCGAGGGAACTCTTTTATCTGCGAAGATAAAGTGGGCAAGATTTTCTTTCTTGCTAGCACAAGGTTTCCTGCGAGCTGAAGTTGAGCGATCAGGGAAAGGTGACCCAAACTGAGATAGTAGATCTGTGGTTTAAAAATGAATTCAAACGGTTTGGATATTGGAATAATATTTATTTATTTTTCGCCGCTATACATCTGATGGCAAATAAACATCGACTCCCAATAACAGTTTATTTTCGCATTTTAAATCCCTTTTTATACCCTTGCAGGGTATTATAATTTAAGTCAGAAGTTTGCAACGCAGTGAAGGAGGCAGACCATATAAAGGGTATATATTCTTGATCAGGATCAACAGCCGAGTCGATCTAGCCATGTCCGTCTGCCCGTCTGTCCGTTTCTACGCAAACTAGTCTCTTAGTTTTGAAGCTGTCTGCATGAAACTTTGTAGTTAGCCTTCTATATACTCTCACTCGTACATATGTTGGAACGGGCCAGATCAGACGACTATATCATATAGCTGCCATAGGAATGATCGGAAAATTTTTACAAAAAAATGTTTAACATTTTCAGTTTTCAATAGAATTAGATCAAATTTAAAATATAGCCATTTTATTATACTCTAAAATTTTGTGTAAAATTTTATGAAAATCGGACTACTATATCATATAGCTCCCATAGGAACGATCGAGAAATTAATACAATTAAAAATTATAACTTTTTCAGTTTTCAACAGATTTTCATCAAATTTGACGTATAGCCATTTTATATTAGTCTTAAATTTTTGTGTTAAATTTTATGAAAATCACACCACTATATCATATAGGTGCCATACTAACGATCGTTTGATGTAGAGTAAAAATGCAAATCTGTGAATGTAAAACTGCAAATATAATATGTATAGGGGAATGAAATGAAAGCAGGTATAACTTCATTGTTTTTTAACATAAATATATATAATTTATATGGTATGGATTCCTAGTCATAGAAGTTCAATCTGCAAGGGTATATAAACTTCGGCGTGCCGAAGTTAGCTTCCTTTCTTGTTTGAATTAAATCTGATAATATGGGCGTTGTCATTAATGCACGTATTAATTCCAACCTTTACTTGCCGGCTTGGAAAGAGCTGCATGCAAGCTTTTTTTATGTATCTATCATGACTTTCAAAATATATGCAATTAATTTTTTGCTTACAAAATCACAGCTGTTTATTTTTTAATATGGAAACGCTATAAATTTTTCGGTCGCCATATTTATGTTATGTAAGTACCTACCCAAGTGAAAGCTGAGATGGCTTTTCTCCTTCTGTTTTATATTGCGTTTTGCCGCATGGAGAATTTATCTTATTTTAGTACCAGACTTTAGACAGCTCGGTTTACTATGCAATGCGAAAGGGTGGATCGGTGTCCATTTCAGCGAAGAACATGGTAGCAACAGTGGTCACACTGTATGCTCAACCGGATAATTAAACTTTTTCACATAAAATTGTTAAACAAAAATGTCAGGAATAGATTAATTCAGAAGAGCTGATACAGTTAATATAATTTAATATGTAGGTAAAGGCAAATAAAGTTTGCCTAGCACTGGCGCCTCCCATGGACATCTCCCAGACCTCTTAATATGATAAAAATCCGGAATACCTGTACAAGAATATCGGATAATTCGATCTTGAAATAACATGGCGGCACCAGAGGCCATACTTATGTACTCCTTCGGGGTACCTATCGGGTTAGTCCCGATAAGGCTGGCAACTGAAATCCTATAGCATCCAACATGGTCCACGTTATCCACCTGACAATGGCGATTAATAAATCTGTACCGGGAGCATTGAGATATATATTTTTATTTTCGCACCCCGCTCGAGAAATACTAATAGTGTGCCGTCAAATATCTCCTAACGCCATCAACATTTCTAGTATTTTTGTATTCGGGTTTCCGTACAGGTCATTAAAACGGGGATGACAAACAGCCGTTTGAAACTATTTGCCCCTTGCTCTTTCTCTCTCCTCACCATACCGTACCTTATAACCGATGTTTCTGGAAACATCGGTTATGAAAATATTTTCGGTTCTGCTTCACATATGTAGTTGGCTTTGGGTCAGTGTTGCTAGTTTAGCTTTATTCAAGCTAAATCTAGACTATATCGCCCATTTTAAAATCATCGATTACTCTTACTGTAGGTTGCATCTCTAATTTTATTCAAAAAAAAATTTTGAAACATGCGGATGTGCGGCACGATTCTGTTTGTTGTTAAGCGCGATTGAAGTTTTTATCACTAATATACCTTTAATTTCGTGCCAGTTTGATAAAAATAAATTAATTAATAATTTTAAAATGAATTGAATCCCAACAACAAGTACAAAAAGTTGCAAAGTAAAATTATTATGTGCGTGCCGCCGTTGTGGTTACGACAGCTTGTGCTTTGATGTATAAATATTAATGTACATATGTATATATATGCACATTGTTTTAAATTATACTGTGAATGTATATCACAAGAAATGTATAAATATGTGAGTGTAAATCGGGAGCCGACCTAACCAGTGATTGCGATCATTCATTCGTTACTCGTGCGTGTGTGTGTTTATAAATGATATGTGTACAACTGTTGTGTACATCAAGATTGATTTTCTTGTAAATTGAAGAAGATAAATAACAGCAATATTTGCCTTTCCTAATTTTGCAACACGTTGTTGTCGTCGTTAAAAGTCTGCAATCACTGAAGAAAACTGTAGAAGCCATGAGTGGCCGACGGCATATTATTATCATATTTAGTAAAATCAAAATGTACAAAAACATCAGAGTACATCATACTGTGTTTTTATCGCTTGGATATTAATGCACAAATATTAAGTAAGTAACAAAACATAAACTATATATATTTCTATCAAAATTTCTCAAAAAAAGCCTCACGTAGTTTTAAAATTCACAAGAATTCCATTGCATTGGTATGTATACATACTTACGTCTGTATTTTACGCCTCATGGTATACATACATACATATATGCAAGAATGAGGATCATACGTGTGGATCGTATGTATACCATTTATACACACACATCGATGTGGCATTTACTTTGTTATTTATTTATTTATTTGCGTAAAAAAATAAATTTGTTTTCTGTATTCTGTTTTACACGCATATTTTGTGTTGTATTTTTGGTCTCTACCTGTTGATATCCACACAATCATCTTCGTTTAAAATAGAAACTCGTTGTGTCATTAGTCTTGCGACCCCGATGCGTATATTTCTTTGTTGTTGTTGCACCTTATGGAGGAGTTTCTTTTTCCTTTTTTCTTTAACAAGCATGTAGTTTGGAACTACCTACCTATCCATGAAAATCTTACGATGTGATCTTTACCAGGTAGCTAACGCGATCCACAGAATACAGCCGAGGTCACACTGATAACACTTTATATTATAGTAAAGCTCTGGCAAAAATTGAAAATATTCTGTGTCAATAAGTCACTATTTTTATAAACAAATATTTGTTCTAACTCAACGAAAGGGCAACCATTTTATTAAATTATTAAACATACATTTTCAGTAAGAAAACTATTGAGAATGCAGTTCTAGAGTGAGAATAATATTATTTTACCAAATACAATTTATATTTGAAAAATTAGTGTTTACAAAATTTGCATTCCAAAATAAATGTCTCTTTGTCTTCTTTTAAATTTGCAAAATGAAATCTATTTGATATTGATATTTTATCGTAAAGACAACAATATGTTATTTGTTTGCCGTTTTTTAGGTTTCAGCTGGGTGTCTTCGATCAGCGTTATGGATATACATATGTATATAGGTTACTCGCTACTGTAAAGTTAATAAACTAATAAACCGTCGTCAAACAAACACCTGGGAAAGGAGCGAAAAATGCCGCATACACACACCAGGCATGGATCATCTGGGGATGATTTATGCAGCACAGACGAGGTTAAAATATTCAAGGACGAAGGGGATCGTGAAGATGATAAAATTTCGTCTGAAAACTTATTAGTTGAAGAGAAATCAAGCCTAATTGATTTAACGGAAAGTGAGGTGAGATAAACAAATCTATAATTACCTTAACGAAAGGATGCCCGTGAACTGTTTGGTTGTTTGGCGCTTAAAAAACATCAATATAAGTTTAAAATATTCTATAACTTTTGTAAAAATAATTCATAAACAGTTGACAGGATACATCTGTAGTATTTATTTATTTTGCTTCAATTTTATAATATTGTTAAATTATTTTCCTTTTTCAATATAGGAAAAGAGTCAAAAAGTGGTTAGGGCCGACCACAGCCCTGTCTTCAGTAAGTATATATTTTCAATTACTAAACATTTAAAATATATAATTTAAGGAATGTAAGTTCATTTTCATCGAGCCTTGCCTTCAGCCACAATAACAATTTAAACTAAAATACAACATTTAGACACACATACATACGTACCTATGCCTAAAATAAGAAATCTTGTGTTCCTTTCGGAAAAAATATTCTAACTAGATTTAACCCAATATAATAGGAATTCAATAAATATTGGTTTTGCTTAAAAAATGCTGTAAAAAGTATGGTATAAACTGTATTTTGAATCCTGCTAAATATTTACAGAGTTCAGGAATCATTTTCATAAGATCTACTTTTGAAAGTGAAAACGTTTTTACAAGAATAACTTTTTTGGAAAATTATAAAATCTTTCTCAATATACAAATGATGTACGACGTCCAAACAATATACATACATGTATGTACATTTATACTGATGTATGTATACATCTGTGTGTTGGTTGTAGAGGCATTGTCTTAATAACGTTCTTGCACGTAGAGTTGTAGATGCAGAGCAGAGCGGAGAGTCCACTTAAAGAGAGTGTTTTTAATAGAGAGACAACTGCGTAGCGAGATGAAAGAGGGAAGAAGGTGGAGCTTCGAAAAAACCGGCTGCTCTGTGTTGACTCAAACTTTGGGATCCACATCCACCAATATTCATGGTGCTAACAAGGTGATGAAGATCGTTCACCGTCGGATACGCTACTTTACTTTTTTTGTTATGTATATATATATACATATATATATATATTGCTTTTTTTGTTTATAGTTGTATGTGAGAAAAGCTCTTACAGTGAAACAGAACAGAAACAGATCTGTACTAAGCCTAACTTTTGGGCCACGTTACCGTAATTATCCTTGTTTTACGTTCAAGTCAGATAAATGAGAAAATTATGTTTAAGGAAATTATGTGATTTAAATAATATATATTTAAGCATCGCCAAAGAAAAAATGTGTACTTATATTTATATTACACATTCTTATGCATTTCTTGAGAAGACATTTTTGGTACTTTTGTCGATAATGCACTTATGATACAGTTGTTGTCAAAATGGTAGCAATAAAAGAGGAAAGATAATTTTACATTTTAGATATTTAATTTTTTAAGATATTTTATACATTTTAGAAATCCTTTTTGAAATATTCAAATATCTTAAAAATGTAATAAAAAAAATCGTATATATGTTATTATGATATATATTATTTATATTATTATGTAATATATATATGATAATATATATAATCCTACAAAATCATTTAATATGAAACCCAAAAATATGTATATAATATATATATATATAAATAGTAGCAATTTTTATATAGCAGTGTATCCTTGAAAATTAATGGCTGTTCGTTGGAATTTTTAAGTCTCATTGTGTTGGATTTGGGTTTCATGTTGAATGTTTTTGCAGGATTTTACTTTCAGGTTTGGTGTTTAAATTTTAATTCATTCTTGTGACCATTGTAAACGTAAAATGTAAAACTTAAATTAAAAAAAAAGAAGAGAATCTAACTTAAATATGTATATTTCTCTTAAAAAACAACGAAGTAATTCTTACTTTCATTACACTCAGCTATACTTAATATATTTGCAGTTGTACAGTTAGAGTTTGGCATTTTCCCCTATATTTAACGATAGTTTCTACTGCAGCTATAATACTTTTTTATAAAATTAAAACCGAAAGTCTACAATATTTTAAATTTGATGAAAATTTGTTAAAAACAAGAAAGGAAGCTAACTTCGGCACGCCGAAGTTTATATACCCTTGCAGATAGAACTTCTATGACTAGGAATCCATACAATATAAATTATATATATTTGTATTAAAAACAATGAAGTAATACCTGCTTTCATTTCATTCTACTATGTATATTATATTTGCAGTTTTACATTCACAGATTTGCATTTTTCCTCCGACTTCCATGAAATTTGCAACAAAATTTGGGACTAATATAAAATGGCTATACCTCAAATTTGATGAAAATCTGTTGAAAACTCAAAAAGTTATAATTTTTAATTGTATTAATTTCTCGATCGTTCCTATGGGAGCTATATGATATAGTAGTCCGATTTTCATAAAATTTTACACAAAATTGTAGAGTATAGTAAAATGCTATATATCAAATTTAATCAAATTCTGTTGAAAACTGAAAATGCTATAATTTTTGTTGTAAAAATTTTCCGATCATTCCTATGGCAGCTATATGATATAGTCGTCCGATCCGGCCCGTTCCAACATATATACGAGTGAGAGTATATAAAAGACTAACTACAAAGTTTCATTGAGATAGCTTCAAAACTGAGAGACTAGTTTGCGTAGAAACGGACAGACGGACAGACGGACAGAAGGACAGACGGACAGACGGACATGGCTAGATCGACTCGGCTGTTGGTTCTGGTTATAATTTGTAATTGTATTAATCATCTTTGTTTTTTAACAAAAGTATGTATATAATTTTTATTGTATTAATTCCGATCCGATCATTCTATTGGCAGCAATATGATATAGTCGTCCGATCCAGCCCGATCCGACTTATACATGGCTACATGGCTAAATCTACATAAATGTACATAAATATATATGTCTATCATATATATTTATATTATGCTTAGTTACTGGAATGAAATAGATACACATACGTATAAACAAATATAGATATATATAAGATATAATAAATAGATAAATATAAGTATAAATGTTAATATTATTTCAGATAAGCTCGATACGCACACGCCAAGCTTCAATATGGGGTACCTGGTCTCACCTTACTCGTATGCAAATGGCGCTGCAAATGGTCTGCCAGTGACAATGGTAAGTTAATTTTATCATCATAATATTATCATTTCTATTTTGACTAAATATTTAAACAAATTATTAGTATTATATTAATAGGAACACCTCTTGACAAGGTGTGCTAAAAGTGATGTAACGAATTTTACTACTAACAATCACAAAATATTAGTGGCAAATAATAAATTGATTAAAACGATTAGTTTATATTTTTTGTTCTGTAAGTATGCAATTTAAAAGAGCTCGATAAATACATTTTGATCAAGATATGTATGGTTGCGATATAAATATATGTAGTGTTATAGTAGTAGTAGTAGTCTTCTTGTGCAGCACACACTTTATCCTTTATTTTTTTAACGTTCAAGTGTAGTCTTTTTTAATGAATTTTACAAATTCAACTTTACAAAAATCACCGCCATTTTTTCTCATTTTTTTGGGGGTTGGTTTTGCAATTTCCGAATAAATCTTATACCGAATACTCATATTTTTAGCTTCGGGGTGTTTTTTTTAAAGTCTGTTATTACGTCTATAGTACTTACTCGTTTCTGTTCATCTGAGATAAACGATAAGCAACCAACGTTTAGGGAGGCTTAAGGACAAGGAAAAAGGAAAAACAATGCGTTTTACTTACAGAATAGAATGAAAAAACTTAAGGCAAAAACAAAAGAGGATGCTAACTTCGCCAAAGTACATATGTATACCCATAAAGTTTGCAATTTGTAATCAAATATTAATCAAATAATACACATTTCTTAACAATTCTCAAGTGGTGTAACCTTTCTATCTATATTCATTTATTTTAACTTAAAGTTTATGTATTCTTCACCAGCCTTCACCAGATATAGCCGTTTTATATTATTCAAGACTTTCGGTTTTAATTTTATGGAAATCGGGAGACAATATCATATACATATCTTTAAATGTAGAGGAAAATTCCAAATTGTAGCTGTAAAAATAAAAAGTATAGGTTACTGTAATGAAATAAGGAATTAGTTCGTTGTTTTTTATACAAATTTAACTAATTTATATTATATTAATTATTAATGATCAAATTGAAATCTGCAAAGTTCGGCGTTCTGTATAGTTTCCTCTCTTCTTCTTCTATTAATCGAGTCATTTTTGGAGTTGAGAAAGTCGAGCGTTTAGCTGTGTTTTTGTTTGATTCAATTCTGAGAGAAATTATTGTATTTTAATCGCGCACATTATCGCCGCCCACAGTGTAAAAGATGTTACATTCATATGTACATCTGATTGTATCTTTTTATCTTCTAAAAACGGTCGATCTAAATCCAGAGTTCTTTATTGATTATTTTTATACGCTTTCAGGATTTTTTAATTTCAGTCAAAAGTAAAGGAGTTAGAACCTATAAAGTATATATATTCTCGATCAGCACCAACAGCCGAGTCAATATAGCCTTATCTGACTGTTTTTACGAAAAATAGTCCATTAGTTTGAAAGCTAACTGAACAACTACTTAGATTTCTATATACTCTCACTCGTATATATGTCGGAACGGGCCGAATCGGACGACTATATCATATAGCTGTCATAGGAACGACCGGAAAGTTTTTAGTAAAAACAGTTTAACTTTTCCAGTTCTCAATAGATTTTTGTGAAGTGTTTCTCTGGAATATCTATTTAAATTTTATGAAATTTGGACCATATTATATAGCTGCCATCGGAGCTATCCAGAAATTAATACAACTAAATTATAAATTCAGTTTTCAGCCATTTAACATTATCCCAGAATTTCGGTTTAATTTTTATGAAAATCTTACGACTACATCACATAGCTGTCATACAAACGATTGTTAAATATAGAGGAAAATGGAAATCTGTGAATGTAAAAATGTAAATATAACATGTATAGGTGAATGCAGTGTTAGCATGCATTTTCATTGTTTTTTTAAATAAATGTATATAATTTATATTGTATAAATTCCTAGGGATCGAAGTTCTACCTGCAAGGGGTTTTAAACTTCGGCGTGCCGAAGGTAACTTCCTTTCTTGCTTTCAATAAATCAATTAAATACATTATATTTTCTTTCCAAGCTTTAACACCGAACAATATATTAAAAAATTCTTACTTAGCCATAAGTAAGAATTAAAGCAAATGAACCCCGTCGCCATGTATATTTCCTATCTCTGAAATAGGGGTGATATCGCATATATAGTAACAACAGAAGCAAAAAAAGCAGCGAGCATTGGCGGCACGTTTCATATTCTATTAAGCGGCGGCGACTTCAAAGAAAATTTTCAGTTTCATTGCATCGTTTTGCCGCTGTATGCTGTCTACAGCTTGTTAGTATTATTGGTTGTGTGCTGTTTGTTTTTCAATACCCTGTAGTTATAATTAGAGTAGAGAAATAATGAAAAGGTCTGCAACCCTTTAAAAACAACCTAGAATTTAAATAAATAAAGTAGGCACTAAGAGAATACTAAATTTTAAAGAAATGCAATTTGTATAGCTATACCCTTGCAAGAGGTATTATAGTTTTAATCCGAAGTTTGCGACACAACGGAGTACTATATGGATATTCTTGATCAGTATCAACAGTTTGACATTTTTTTTATAATTTTAGAATGTGTATGTGTAAAGCTGACATAGAAGCGATCGGGAAATTAATAGAAACCAAGAAAGGCAGCTTGCTGCGGCACGCTGAAGTTTCTATACCCTTACAGATTGCAAGATCATTAATATTTTATCCAATATAAACTATGTATATGCAATTATATTAAAAAACAACGAAGTAATGCCTACCTTTGTCACAATCACCTATACATATTATATTTACATTTAAAATTACAGTAAAAGCTTCAATTTTAAATTCACAGTATTGCATTTGTCTCTACATTTAACTATCAGATATATTATAGTCTTCCGATTAAAAAAAAAAGACTGAAACTGAAATTCTGAATTAATAGAAAATGGGTATACCATTTTTTTCTGTCACAAATACTACTTGAATAAGAAGTTTTTTTATAAAGGATTAGTGTATTTAATTATTAATAATATAATAATTTCCTTTGGGTAACTTAAACGTTTTAGAAGATATAGCTAAAAATTAACAAAAAAGTATAAATTATGCTGATCATTGAAATAGCAGTCGAAGTAAAGAAACTACAAGTAAATGTTATAAATATCAAAATATCTTAAGTAGCCCTATTATACTGTAATACAATTTGGTTAAGACTTAATATTTTTTTCGCTGGAGAGGAATTTTCCCGATGCCTTCTTCACAACTGCCCAAAGCTGCGTCTTAGAAGTTTTTTGATACGTAGCGCTTGACGATCCCCCATAAGTGTTTGATTGAATTGAAGTCCAAGGGCTGTGCTGGCCATGGCATTACATTACCTTTTTCATTACTAAACCACTCTGTGGCCACGTTATTGGTATTTTTGGGATCATTATCCTGCGGAAATGTCAACATTTATGGCATTTTTTCCTCGGCATTCGGCTGCATGACAGTTTTTAATATTTTTACATATCCATGTTGTTCCATGATCCCATCGATCATATGTATGGGACCTACATACAACATTGCATGAAAAGCAGACAGGCCCCTATCGTGATTTTAAGGCCATCGTGCTTTAGTCTTCAGCGTAAGGTTCCGGTGGTATTCTATATTTGGAGGTCGACGGACATATTGTCTTAATCCTTTTCCACTAAACAAAACCAGTTCGGACTGTCTGTCCGAAGGATATTACGTCATTTGGAAAGTGGCCAGTTCAAGTGATTTGTGGCGAACTTCACCCTGACTTTGATATGCCATTTTTCAAGTATTGGCATTCGAATTGTTCTGAAAAAGTGAAGAACGAATGGTCACATCATTGATTCCCAAGCCAATGACCCCTTTTTTATCCCTAGAGGATGCAAACGGATAAGCTTTTGGTTTGTGAGAAAACTTTCCTTGTTTTTCGGGCATAAATTTAGATATTAGAAACAGTCTGGAAACAATCTAAAGATTCTTGGAATTTCTTTATGCGATCTACCTTCCTTTTTGACCCGAATAACCTAGTGTTCTTTCTGTCTTGAAGAAGCGAGGTCCTCTACCCACAAAAATCATAAAACAAATATTTGTTTTTTTTTTTTTTAGTTGCGTATGAAATGTAATATCGAACCTAAATAAACTCACTTTTAGAACAATTAGAAAAAATTTTATGCCTAACAAAATCAAAAAAAAAAAAAAAATAGCCAAAACGATTTTCACGTAGGAAAAAAATTGCAAAATAACACAAAAATAGAGCAAATCTGTCGGAACTTTTGCTTAAAACTTATCTCTGTTCCATTTTACAAAATTAATGTGGAAGAGATAAACTTAAAAAAGGAGGATGCAAAAAAACCGTTTTATAGTAGTTCTTCGGTCGCACTCCTATTTCGGTGAACACAGCTGTACATATATATATATATATATTTTTTTTTTATTGGTTTGGTTTTTGGTTTTATGCAAATCGGATGCTTATATGATATTGCTACCATTGAAACTATCGGCATATTTGAGGGAAATGTAAGTGTTAATCGTTAAAAATTAAGAACAAAAATGTTTAGTGTAAGTTATAGTTGTCACTTTTATCTCACTTCTTTAAGATTTTTTATACCCTTGCAGGGTATTATAATTTCAGTCAGAAGTTTGCAACGCAGTGAAGGAGGCACCTCCGACTATATAAAGTATATATATTCTTGATCAGGATCAACAGCCGAGTCGATCTAGCCATGTCCGTCTGTCCGTCTGTCCTTCTGTCCGTCTGTCCGTCTGTCCGTCTGTCCGTTTCTACGCAAACTAGTCTCTCAGTTTTGAAGCTATCTGAATGAAAGTTTGTAGTTAGCTTTCTATATACTCTCACTCGTACATATGTCGGAACGGGCCGGAATGATCGGAAAATTTTTACAAAAATTTTTTTAACTTTTTCAGTTTTCAATAGAATTGGATCAAATTTGAGATATAGCCATTTTACTATACTCTACAATTTTGCGAACAATTTTATGAAAATCGGACTACTATATCATATAGCTCCCATAGAAACGATCGAGAAATTAATACAATTAAATTTATAACCTTTTCAGTTTTCAACTGATTTTCATCAAATTTTAGGTATAGGCATTTTATATTAGTCTAAATTTTGTGTCAAATTTCATGAAAATCGGACTATTATATCATATAGGTGCCATACAAACGATCGTTTGATGTAGAGGAAAAATGCAAATCTTTGAATGTAAAACTGCAAATATAATATGTATAGGTGAATACAACGAAAGCAGGTATTACTTCATTGTTTTTTAACACAAATATATATCATTTATATTGTATGGTTTTTTATTCATAGAAGTTCTATCTGCAAGGGTATATAAACTTCAGCGTGCCGAAGTTAGCTTCCTTTCTTGTTTATTGATTATTTTAATAAAGGCGTAACCATATTTTTCTCTTACTTTTTTTGAAGGCCAACAAAATTGGACTGCCGCCATTTTTTTGCCACAATGCCGATCCTTTAGCAACACCACCGCCAGCGCACTGCGGTATTCCGCCATATCAGCTTGATCCCAAGGCAATTGGTAAGTAAAATTTAATAGCATTATAAGAATTGTATATATTACAGTTTATGTTGATGGGAACTGGTTTTATTATCTTGGCGTATATCTGAACATTTTAAAACCCTTTCAGGGTATTATAATATTAGCCAAATGAAACGCAGAGAAGTAGTCATTTCCGACTGTATGTATTTGGTCAGCTTATTCCTATTTATTATTATTATTATTATACTCTTGCAGGGTATTATTATTTCAGTCAGAAGTTTGCAACGCAGTGAAGGTGTCATCTTCGACCATATAAATTATATATATTCTTGATCAGCATCAATAGTCGATTCGATCTAGCCATGTCCGTCTGTTCCTACCCAAACTTGTCCCTCAGTTTTGACAGGCCGAATCGGACGACTATATCATATAGCTGTCATAGGAATGAACGGAAAATATGTATTTATGAAAAAATTACAACTTTTCCAGTTTTTACTAGATTTTCATTAAATTTAATATGTAGCCACTGTATATTTATTTAGAATTTGTTGTTACATTTTACGGACTACTATCCCTTCAGTAAGATTCCTTTGGGATTCGGGTCTGAATCTGGTTGGATTGGAGAGGCCACCGTCCTGAAACGGACTAGAAAACCTGAATTCGGACTACCCGAGGAATTATCCGGGAATCAGTAAGGAATCCTGCTAGGAGATTGTCGTGAATTTCGACACGAATTCCCCCGTGAATCAGAAGGGAATTTCGAACCTGATTCTGAACGGAATCAGCCAGGAATTCGAGACGGAATCAGATAGGACTCTCAAAGGAATACCAGGTGGAATCGCCAAGGAATTGTAGGGGAATTTAGAGTAGAATCATATAGGAATCCCAGAGGAAAACGTGTAGAAGTTCCCCGGAACCCAACGCCCCATAGAAAATAGCTGGCGTAATTTATTTATTTAAAAACTTTTTAATTTGTTCTATGATTACCACAATTTTTCTTAGTACAACTTCTTTCATTTCCCATAACGTATGTTACGGGTCTTTCCTTCCGGCTGTTGCCTAGTCAAAATATAATTAAAATACATATGTATGTATATAAATATGTTTGTTAGAATCAAATGGACAATATTTCCAAAAATATACACACGAATTACACATAAAACAAATTATGGAAATATGATGGCCTTCCCGTTCACACCGTCTAAGTTAAAAAAGAGTCCAGGTTCAAAAGCAATTCTGGAAATGAATTTATTAACTAAATACAAATGTCACTTAAATAATAAATTACAATACAAAACACTTGTAAATACTTCAGCTGTCATTAGAGCTGGGAAAAATCGATTTCAACATCGAGACTATCGATCCTTTTTTTTCTGTAAATAATATTTTTCATCATCTCACTTTAATTTCGGAACCGCTGCTCCGAATCCGTTCGAAAACAACAACAACACAGGTAGAATTGCCTACTTTGTTTTGGAGTTATGTTACCGAAACCCTTTGTTTTTCGAACATGATACCAGGAATCGGTCAGGAAAGTAATTTTGGTACTGAAGGGATATCATATAGCTGTCATTCAAACGATCGTTTAAAATAGAAGAAAATGCAAAAGTGTGAATGTCAAACTGTAAATATATAATGTGTACAGATGATAGATATGAAAGCATACTTCATTATTTTTTAACATAAATATATATAATTTATATTGCATTAATTCCTAGTGATCGAATTTCAATCTGCAAGGGTATTAAAACTTTGGCGTGACAAAGATAGCTTCCTTTCTTGTTATTATTATTATTTATTTCTTTTCTTATTATTATTTATATTCTTATTATTATTTATATTCTTATTATTATTTATATTCTTATTATTATTTATATTCTTATTATTATTTATATTATTTTTATTACTATTATTATTGTTATTATTATTATTATTATTTTTATACCCTTGCAGGGTATTATAATTTCAGTCAGAAGTTTGCAACGCAGTGAAGGAGGCACCTCCGACTATATAAAGTATATATATTCTTGATCAGGATCAACAGCCGAGTCGAGCTAGCCATGTCCGTCTGTCCGTCTGTCCGTCTGTCCGTCTGTCCTTCTGTCCGTCTGTCCGTCTGTCCGTCTGTCCGTCTGTCCGTTTCTACGCAAACTAGTCTCTCAGTTTTAAAGCTATCTGAATGAAACTTTGTAGTTAGCCTTCTATATACTCTCACTCGTATATATGTCGGAACGGGCCGGATCGGACGACTATATCATATAGCTGCCATAGGAATGATCGGAAAATTTTTACAAAAAAAACTTTAACTTTTTCAGTTTTCATTAGAATTGGATCAAATTTGAGATATAGCCATCTTACTATACTCTACAATTTTTCGTAAAATTTTATGAAAATCGGACTACTATATCATATAGCTCCCATAGGAACGATCGAGAAATTAATGCAATTAAATTTATAACTTTTTCAGTTTTCAGCTGCTTTTCATCAAATTTGAGGTGTGGCCATTTTATATTAGTCTTACATTTTGTGTCAAATTTCATGAAAATCGGAAGACTATTTCATATAGGTGCCATATAAACGATCGTTTGATTTAGAGGGAAAATGCAAATCTGTGAATGTAAAACTGCAAATATAATATGTATAGGTGAATGAAATGAAAGCAGGTATTACTTCGTTGTTTTTTGTTACAAATATATATAATTTATATTGTATAGATTCCTATTCATAGAAGTTCTATCTGCAAGGGTATATAAACTTCGGCGTGCCGAAGTTAGCTTCCTTTCTTGTTATTATTATTATTGTCGCAATATTATTACTATTATTATTATTATTAATTTCCCAATATTATTTCTATTCTTAATATTATTAGTATTTTTGTTTATTGTTTTGCGGTTAACCCCACTCTCTATGAAGCTATTGACTTTCTCACCCTATAAATCAACCAACCACAACACAAAATTCAAACAAATTATGAATATAATAATTGCTCATGGTAAGGTTGTAAATTATTATATGGCAAATGATCCATTCATTCAGCCAAATTTACGTCATTGTTTGCAGATTCTGAATAGATTTTGTGGTGGGTTTCGGTAAAAATGTACCGATCAGAATAAGAACAACCAGGGGAACCAGAATGGGAACAACCAGGGGAACAACCAGCGGCGTAAATAAAAGGCTTGCATTTACCGAGGTCCCATGGATTACACGGATTTATAAACCTTTTCAATAAATAATAATAATGACCCAAGTAATTCATAATTGAATGACGCCAGTATAGAGCTTCGAGTGGATGAGGAAGGCTGTACTCAACATGTGAACTTGATTGTGCTGTTTTATAGTTTTCTGTCTAGGTTTTTAGTTACCCACCAGCTTTTTCTTTATGTTTTTACAAAGAAATATAATGTTATTAATTATTATAGTACAAATAGTAAAAGTTTAAATGCTGAAACTAATATTCATTAACAAAAAAAGGCGTTTTTCCTTTTCAAGGATGAAAAGATGAGACCGCCCTCGGCGCTGTTTGCAAAGTGGTTAAAATAACGTCGCAAGGGTCTCGCATGTGATCCGAAAACAACCCTTGGGAGTCCATAGTAGAGTCCACTTTTAAATCGGATGAATTTCATCTTGCTTCGACATTGTTGTTGCCTCTATTCATTACTCTAGATTAAATAGCAATGATATGATATGAGGCACAACACTCAATATAACAAGGATTGCGATGGTATCAGTTTTTTTTTATGTAAAAAGTATTGAACAAACGTGAAAAATTGTTTTTACTACAGATTGTTGGATCAGTCGGGATAAATATATGATAAGGGAATATTATTAATTTCATTGAATTTTAAACTGCCAGTTTATTAAGGAAACTTTAGTCAAGACGCTGAATGCGGCATATTCGAGTGTAAAACTAGGATATTTGTTTGTAATAATAATAATAATATTAAGAATAATAGTAAAAATAATATTAAGATTAATAGTAATAATAATAATACTATTAATAACCTCCTGCCCCTCGCTTTCTGTCGTTTATCCACCTCGGAAAAGCTTTCGCATTACTTCAAGGTGCCAGTTAAGTGTTACACGCTCTCCTTTTCTGTCTGCGTCCAGATTTCCCAGTTGATTCGTTCAGATCTGGCTTCTAAGATCTGAGGATGTTCTCCACAATTCCTGCTATGTGTTTCCATCTATCCTAAAATGTATCAATTTTTATTTTATTTTGTCTTTTATCAATTTTTTTTCGTTTTTTTATATACCCTTGCAGGGTAGCAACGCAGTAAAGGAGACACCTCCCACCATATAAGGTGTACATTCTTGATCAGCATCAACAGCCAAGTCGATCTAGCCATGTCCGTCTGTCGGGTTCTAAATACAATTAATACAATTAAATATAATATTTATAGGTGAATGAAATGAAAGCAGGCATTACTGCATTGTTTTTTAGCATATATACAATTTATATTGTATTGATTCCTAGTCGTCAAAGTTCTCTGCAAGAGTATATAAACTTCGGCGTGCCAAAGTTAGCTTTTTTTTTTTTTTTTTTTTTTTTGTGAATAATATCTATGCAATTTATAGTATTTATGTGGCAACGCTTTCATACCGAATTTCGGTATTCGATAAGTTTTTTGAAATTGTTTAATTTGTGTGTTCGTCGTATATTCTAGTTATTTGCTAATAATTCATTTTGTCCATATGCTTGTCCCAACCGTTTCTTAATTATGATACCTATTTTAATTAATTTGTAGCTAATTTTGTTTTTTGAATATATTTATTATTATTAAGGAACTTCTTAAGATAACTAGAGTGTGCGACACTAGGTGGCAGTCTATTGAGCATGCAGTGAAACACATTTTAGATGAATGGATTGAACTAAAGGTGCATTTCAATACGGCAGCATGAGATGAATATTATCACAAAACAGCGATTTAAGCTGACTTTTACACTGATTTTGTTTGATTTTTTACAAAAACCTACTTTGGAAGTCACGCAACGCATTAATAAAAACTTCGAATCAAATAATTCCAACCCGATCTTTTCGG